GTAAAAGAATAACCACAATCATTAAATTATCTCATCAATGTCTTTGTTGTCAAACATCACTGACCTTACAGCTAGTATAACCATGCAAATTATTGTATCTGATATTTTTCTAATAAAAAAATACTGGTCATCAAGTCAAGGGGATTGTCAGCTGGACAACAAAGGAGGGGGAATTTAAAGCCACCGTCTGTAAGCATCTTGTTCCCTGGTCTCTGAGGGAACTCATTAAGTGGTTCAGACCACACGGGATTGAAGCGCTAGAAAGATAACAGTCTGTTATAGAAACACTGACTCGTACCATTAAGTGACTCCAGCTTTATAGTCTGACAGTTTTATGGCTGCATTGTACTGCCCACCCTTAATACATACAAGACTGTTCCTAACGCTTGCCAAAACCCATTCCCCCCTCCTTTCCTCTAGCATGGCAGACAGGGGTCACCTTAGACTGCCTTCATCAAGGGGATGTAACTGCCACATGCTTCTTGATCACACTAGTCTTAAAAAGGTTGTGAAAAGCCTTCGTGATGTGTTTTTTGTTGGGCAGAAACAAAATAACTTGAATGTTCTGGTTTTGCAGATGCCATTTGAACTGTACACAGATCATTTTAAGCTGAGTCTTTCTGGCGAGGACCAAGAAATCCCTTTAGAACGATAAGGCTTCTTGAATTAAATGGGATTAGAAGTCAATGTTCAAAGCAGGTAATCCCCCCCAAAAAAAGAGATGAACGCAAAGAGGATTCATTTCACTGATAACACTAGTCATAAGAGAGAAGATGAGAAATGTGCCTTAAGCATTTTGTGTAATCCTGTCTCTTTTGAACTATGTGAGGCTCAGTTTAGTTTTTGTATTCTGTGCCACCAGAGTACGGTGATACCATGTTAGACTGCTGTATCTCTACTAGAGCTGAATGGTTAGGAATAATTTAAACCGAAATGTTCATAACTAATTCATTGTTTAAGTTGTTCGTCAAGCAAAAATGCCTAACACTCTGTGTCAAGGCTGATTTAATCTGCCTGATGTCCTAGTAAAATAAAAATGTTTGGATTTTTTGAGAGAGTTGATCAAACAAAGCATGCGATAAGGATGTCATCGAGGGCATCTGTCATTGTGTAGACCTAACAATAATTGTACAATCAAAAACTGGTCAGCAAATATAAAGCACAGAAAACTGTTTTTAGTTGCTACCCAGATACATCTGTATTATACTTTGTCCAATAGCAGCTGATGTCTTTATGTAATTAAACATTTAGAGGAACCACATGTTTATGTTGAACCGTACGTGGTTTAGAAAGACTTTGCGAAGGTGAACCATTTAAATCTAGTGCACAACTATTTCCATATGCAGAAAAGACACTACACTTAAAAACATTGTTCAAACACACCAGAGATGCAGCAGAAAACTCCGTCAATACCCCATTAGTTTCACTTCAAAATACGATTGTTTTGTTCATAATGGAGGCTGTAGCCTGGGGGACACAGTCTAGCATGCATGCGTTTGTATATACCACCACAGTACTGGTTAATATGTAGTTATATATCCATCAGAGTATTGCATGTACTGGCATTACACTGCATTCCTGGGATAGCAAGCAACGCCAAAACAGCCATGGTTGGACAAAAATGGTCACACTCAAACAAGCTTAAGACACCATTTTGAAAATCCACCGATTTCTAGATAACAACTCCGAGATGCCATCTTGCCAATTATCACCAGATTAGCTACCGTTAGCATGGCTATTCAACCATTCCTAAACACCCCTATGCAGGAATATGTGCTGCTCACATAATAGTAACGTTAGCTTGTATGCTCGCCTGAAAAAAGCATCGCTAACCCGTAGCATCCTCGCATCCCTCGGCACACGCTGCTAAAAAATTGCTAATTAGCGGGCTAGCTTGGTAAAGATTAGCAAACGACAATAAAAAAAATCACTCACATTGGATCAGATATGGCTGCACCGGAACAACAGCAGCTACTTTTACCGCCTGGACGCAAACAACTAAGGAAATACAAAACCTTGCGATACGGCAGTTAATGTCGGTTTGTTTCCGTTATTTAAACTAGCCCCTTTAGCTTAGCGCGCTAGTTCCACCACGGAGGACAATTGAAAGGATACTGAGGAGGGGAAAAAAATGAAAAAAACGAACAACTACCAAGTCGACACATGGACATTCCTGCCCTCCATGATAAACATCGGACTTACCTAAACCACTCGGTCGAACAACAAAAAGATTCCCGTGTGCGTACGTGCTTTCTCCTGTGTCTGCTCTGCTCTGGGTCGGTGCGGACTGGCTCTGCTACAGCAGCGTTTTGTCGGACCAGTGGCGCAGAGAAGACAGCTTTCACCCGAAGAGACGGCCACCGTGTGGGGGATGGGGATGCACTGCCGGGAGGGAGAGAGGGAGGGAGAGAGAGAGGAAGGGAGGGATGCAGGGATGTAAGGAGAGAGGAGGGGGGGGTCCCACCGATAACATATATATAGAGGCTTTGATAAAAACCAAATAGTAATAGAATAAAGGTCGATATTGTTATAACCTAAAGCAAAAACAGCAGATGAGACACAATACCGTTAGTTACTGTTGTTCAGTTTGACTGATACTGTTCCTACTCTCAATTATTAAATAATAGAACATTTGATTTTAATAGTTAATGCGAATATTAAAGGCTAGTCCACTAATGCATGCATAATACATACTAGATGAAAAAGATGAAGGAAGATGGTCTATTGATAGCCTGTTGTATAATCACACTGTTACTTCTTTGTTCTTTTTTGTGTGTGTTCACTTTATGGATTGTGTCCGTGTTTTTTGCATTGATAAGAAATTACCAATATCAGTATGTCGTTGCATTATAATATTATTATCATGCGTATGGCGCTGTGGTAATATAAGTGTATGTTTACAAAAATCTGCCGTTATGCATCTATGCGATCAACATTTTCAGGCAGGAAAGTGTTATTTGGTCAGCAGCACTGTGGTGGTGAAACGGTATTACAGCACGGCTGCAAGTTCACGTTCACAAATTCATAGGCTTTCGATTCGTGCATAAACCCAAATGTTGCTTCACAGCAAGGCAACGCCGCCCAGTGGTTATGAGTTGCTTTGCACCACAATGACTGAGTTCTTCTAAATTTGCACAGTCTATGAACATAGGACTACCTGAAACCCACATTAAATTGTATCTTGAATGCCAAATCATGCATTTATTATGCTATCTATTTTATTTAAATGTAAAAATGTTTTAAAATAATTTTACAGTTGTATTGCATTATCATTAAAACACATGATCTGCCACTTTCAATATAAATCCTACTTGCTGTTCATAGTCTAAATACTATTTTTGGACACCAATACGTATTGTAGGATACATTCAACAGAAGTCCATGTATTTTCCTTCAGTATTTATTTATTTGCTATTTGAATCACAAAGAGAACCCTTGATTTGTATACTTTTTGGCTTAGGCCTATTGGGGTTTTGAACTTTTGATATATATTTATATAATATGTGTACAACTTGTACATACTTAACATACTTGTTAAGTCCTGTATTACATGAATAAATACGAATTCAGGGCAATTACTGACACACAGCTCCAGCGACAAAGGATTTGCTTTTAGGCAAGCATAATTCCAGATGGTATTTGTGAACCCCTCGATAATATCGATATGGAATTGAAAACTGGTGAAGTTTCTACACTGGACCAAACTATTTTCATACAGTCTATGATTGGAGACTCCCACTGAGTTATAAGGCTTAGCCTACGGGTTTAACCCTGTGGGTTTAACCCGTACTGTTACGACCAATTCCAGAGAACTACAGGTCCCAGCTGCCCTTGCGCACCACTACCACCACAAACAAAGAAGAGCCGCATACAAGCACATACACACAACTCGTGGGGATTTGAAAAAACATTGAAACATCTAAATATAATTGATAAAACGGCGCACGTTTAACAAGGATGATGTTACGTACAACTGTAACGGCAAGAAAATCAAGACTGTCCGAAACATCACGTGATTTCACGCTTCCGGAAGTTAAATAGCATGAGAGAGAGAGAACTGTCCGAGGTGCTGACACTGTGAGTAGTGCTGGTGCATGTCCTGATTCAGTCTACATACCTGTATATTTTAAATGTAGCCTATTTCTTTTTCTTATGCATGTTTTACCATCAACTTTACGTACTCTGTAGTTTCCACACCTGTGTTTTGAACTGAATATTGTGTTCACCATAATAAATGGGCAAATCACAACATCTCTTCTTGAACTGTTCTCAGTTAGGTTATGTTTGATATCTACTCACCTCACTCACACACAGACACATATTCTTGTATTACATCATAAGACACACTATTACACTACTCTTTGAATATGCATCATGATCTTTGATTTTTTTTCTCCATTTATGTATAAATACATTGTCAGAATTTGGGAAGATGGATGAATCACAAGAGTCCTGTATCCTCAATGCCGAAAACTGCAGCAGCAGCAGCAGCAGTGCCCTCAGCAGTAAAACTGGCAACACTCCACAATGCAACGGTGCTTCAGAGTGCAGGACCCTGCTCCAGGTCCATGAGTCACACGGTCTCCAGCTACTGAGCGTGCTCAGATCATTCAGGGAGCAAGGGCTGCTGTTTGACTTCACCATTAAGGTCCAGGAACAAAGTTTTCCCTGCCATCGATGTGTCCTTGCAGCATGCAGCGATTTCTTTAGGTATCTATCTATCTATCTATCTATCTATCTATCTATCTATCTATCTATCTATCTATCTATCTATCTATCTATCTATCTATCTATCTATCTATCCTTCTATCTATCTATCTATCTATCTATCTATCTATCTATCTATCTATCTATCTATCTATCTATCTATCTATCTATCTATCTATCTATCTATCTATCTATCTATCTATCTATCTATCTATCTATCTATCTATCTATCTATCTATCTATCTATCTATCTATCTATCTATCTAGCTTGTTGATAACTTCTCTGTGTTTAGGGCCATGTTTGAGGTGGATATGCGAGAGCGTGGTGATGGTTCAGTGACTCTGGGTAACCAGTGTCCAGTGGCAGTGCGTTTATTCCTGGACTTTGCCTATTCAGGAGAGATGCTCATCACTGATAGCAATGTAGACATGCTGTTTCAGCTTGCTTCTTTTCTGCAGGTAGAAATACATTATCATTTCTTCTTTCTATTTATATAAACATAAAGTACCTTGGGACAAGTCGACCAAGTGTGTGCCTTTTACCAGCGCCTTCCCACGTAGCTCAGGGTGTACTATACAAAAACTTGATGTATTGAAATGTCACAGGTTTAAAAAATAAAATTACCAAAGGCTATATTCATTAGCTACGGTACACCCTTACAGATGTTTTCAACCTTCTTGACTAATTACACCTCCTCTCATGGCTGTGTGGTAATGTGAAAACACCTGAGTGGGTATATAGAGTCAAATAATTTGAAGAATAACATTTATTAATCATCAAGTTGCTTAGTAAGATACATATCTCTCAGTGACAGTTTTTGAATATGTATTGTATGTGTCCTCAGGTCTCAGTCTTGTCCGAAGCGTGCAGCAAGTTCCTGATAAGAGCCATGGATCTCAGTAACTGCCTGTCCCTATTCTCGCTTGCTGAGGCCTACGGCTCTGCATCCCTCCTCCAAAGTGCCAATGAGTTTGTGGTTCAGAACTTCTCTGAGCTTTCCAAAACCCAGGACTTCCTGGATATGCAGGTACAACTGACAAGATAATGAAGATATTATATCCTAGAAGCTGATTTTGATGTAGCGGCATATGAAGATTATAATTCAATAAATCCATATGAACACTCTCAGTATTAATCATTTCATCTGCTTCTTATAGGTGAATGTGTTGGAAGCATGCCTGAGGTCAGATGCTCTAAATGTGCCCAGTGAGGAGGCTGTGGTGATGTCTCTTCTTAGATGGATACGCCATGATCTCTCGGAAAGACAAAAGCTGTTGCCGGGTTTGTTATCTCTAACCAGATTCCACCACCTACCTGCACCTGTACTAAAGGTAAGAGCATGCTGCATGTACAATATGTTTGTATTTTATATGTGGTCGTATTATAGTCTCACCCTTCCTTTGTGACACCTTACAATGCCTCTTAGACTCTGCGTGATTCAGATGATCTCCTCTGCAATAGTAAGTCCTGCCTCGCCCTGCTCTCTGAAGCTCAGAGCAGGCAGGATCAGTACAGCGGCCTGCTCTCTGACGCCAGGCCAGCCACCACACAGAGCTACATCTTCATCCACAAAACAGAGGAGAACGGCGAGATCCGCCACAGCTTCTGCTACCATCTGGAGACAGACCAGTGGAAAGAGCTGGGAACAGGGCACGGAGAGGGGACGGCCATGATGCCAGACCCACCGGGTTCCTACCTCACCAGCTTTGCTGAGAAGGTACGTTTGAGATTGAACGTTGCTGCTATTAAGCGCAGAGTCTCCTAACCTTTTTTGCATTGTTTCTCTTTGAAATTGTCAACTTATGCACCCCTTACTGCAAGTAAAAGCTTTGGTGTTGGCCCAGGTTATACGTTTTCTTTTCCAGATTGTATTCTTTGAAAGGTTCTAAGAGACCCCCAGAGGTTAAAGTATCCACTATGTTACAAGTAATAAAACAATAATTATTAAAAGTCAGAACAATAAACCATAATTTTCTTGTCTTTCCACTGTATCTAAGATATTTGTGACAGGTGGATGCCGGGGGAACTGTTGCCGGGCAATACGTCTCCATGTGGCCGAGCCGTTCCATGACGCCACAGATGAGGTTTGGTGCTTCTGTCCTGTGACCCTCACCTGCACGCCGGCTCCAGCCATGCTGAAGCCCAGAACCACACACACAGCTGTAACCTGCCTGGACCGTATCTACGTCATTGGAGGACGGACAAGGGGATCCAGAGGGGGGGCTCCCAGTCTGCTGGAGGTAACAGTGTACCCTTTATGGATGATTATGACCAGATTATTGGTTAAGATGTCCTTTCATTATTACATTTGCATTGTGCCAGTACAAATACTGTTATTTTCTAACATATATTCCAGGTGGAGTATTTTAATCCTCTGACCCAGACCTGGAGCTCAGTCAGCCCACTGCCCACCGCCATCTACTACCCTGAGGCCAGTGCTTGTGGCAGTGTTATCTATACACTGGGGTCAGAAGTGGAGATAACAGATTCCTTTAACCCTTCACTGGACTGCTTCTTCAGCTATGACGCACAGCAGGACCAGTGGAGCCGCCTGGTGGCAGAGTTTGGACAATTCTTCCATGCTACCCTGGTCAAGGCAGTGTCAATAGATAACACACTGCACATCTGTGACCTGTCCACTTACAAGGTGAGCCCTCAGCTGGGCACGAATGAATGAATGAGTTGTCATTATTGTATCTCAATGTGTTTATAGTTTAAGCTTTCCTAGGACTGTTTAAATAATGAAACACAGAGTTCAAAAGTGTGACTTTTCCCATCCAGGTCTACAGTTTTTGTCCAGAGACCTGCGTGTGGAAGGGTCAAGGGTCCTTTGAGTGTGCTGGTTTCAACGCAGGAGCAGTGGGTATGAAAGACAAAATCTACATCCTGGGTGGAGACTATTCACCTGATGAGATCACTGATGAAGTTCAGGTAGGAGAAGCTTTTATCCATAGTAGCTGACCTACTGAGACATTTTAAGTCATATTTCTTAACTAAAGGCACAGGCCACCAAATCTGTCAACATGGATCTTAATGGTAAATTGGCTCTGCTTTGAGGAAGCCTAGAAGAAGTGATCAGTAGATCAGTAGATAACTATTGACGTATTCATAAATATAGTCAACATTTAACAAATAAGGCTCACTATTTTTTTCAGTTTATTGTTTTAAAGTGTTAGCTTCAAGCAATATGTATCGAGTAATTTTGCCATGATATCTCTATATTCACACTGCATATGAAGAGTACGTTATTTATTATTACTCTCACTTATATTTTATTTATCACAATTACAGTAAATAATTCAAGAGGATAGGTTATTTATGATACATTAGAATGATAAAGTTATTGATTTACTAGCAAGGACACACCAAAGACCAACAGTATGTGATTAAAGTGTAAATGAGCAACAACAACGAGAATGGATGGAAGTAAGAGAGGGGATGGTTTGGATAATACCTGGAGATGGTAGAGAAATTAAGGTTTTTAATAGGAATAAAAGAGGAAAATGTAGTTAAAAGTATAACCTGACGTCTGCTGATATTTCTCTTTCTGTGTTTCCTTGTGGCCTGTACAGGTGTACCACAGTGGGAGAAGTCAATGGGAGGAAGTGGCTCCCATGCCCAGAGCGCTCACTGAGTTCCACTGTCAGCTCATCAGCTTCAACAGATACAAAGACCCATGGGGGGACACAGCAGATACACACTCTTGAATATAGTTGATTTGCATGTGTGTTACATGTGTCTCTGATGGATGCTGGACAGCTGACAGAGGGAAAGACAACCTTCCACCAACACTACATCTTTCTCACATCATTATAACAAGACTGCACCTGAGCCAGATTATGTACTACTTTTTAATTTAAACATTTGATTTCATATGTTCACTTTGCACGAGTGAATTGTCTGCTGTCATAGGATCTTTGTTGTATTTAAATCAAAAATATGGTCCCTCCCATGGAGGAACCTTATTGAGCCAAAGACTACAGCATATTGGAAAGCCTATATTAATAACTGATATATTTTGTTCTGATGATTTAGCTGATGGAAACCTGCTCATAGTATATTACCTTATTTAAAACTCAACACAAATCCTCTTGACAAAATTGTGTAAATAATCTTGTTGGATTTTCACTTTAATACTTGCCTTTATCCTGTTTAGCCTGCCATGTATCCATGCATGCCCTTTTTCTCCTCTCATGAAATAACATTCTACATGTGATCAATACACAGATCACCTGACAACTGAACCTATAGAGATGAATACTGTACCTTGGAAGAACATAATACGTTTCAGAAACCAGGAGGAGAAAGATATGGGCTTCATGGTGTAAACCACAAATGCGTTGTACGGTTGTGTTAAGAAACCTACAAAAATAATACAACAAATAAAATAATGTTTTATTGGCAAGGAGTGAATGCACATAATGCTTTATTAATTGAGTTGATGTGTTTTTTTTTGAGTAGATACAGTGTCTGCATGCGATACATTCATCATCGCGAGTAAAAACAGAACAATAGACACAAGAGCATGGTTTTATGTTTCAAAGGGCACATCAATGGCACAGTGACATGCATGTACACCACTGTTAGAGGGATTACATCCCTTTAAAAATAGAGCAGCAAGCCCCTGTTCTTTTATTTGTAATCACCCGCATGTTTTCTGTAACTCCTCCTCTGGCCTTGTTCAGAAATTCAAAGTCACATTCAAAAACGTTTGAGAATAAATACACTGATCAGTTGACTTTGAAATTGTCATTGATAATCTGCCCCATCTGTAACGAGCACATGGTTATAGGACTCTAATGAAAGCTGCAGCTCTGGACCTGACCAGATTAAAAGAATGATAAGATGTAAACACTGTCTGAACATGAATCACTTAGCAGCAAAGTCCTACAGTAGCCATGCTGGTTTTCCTCATATCGCTCCGACTCCTCTGGCACCTCGGTCATCTCCTCTCTTCTTGCTCCATAATTTAGCCTTGGTAAGTTTTCACCAGCAGCCACATCAGCAGCACAGTGATTAAGACGATCGTGAAGTTGATAAACAGCTCCTGGACTGAGCGATCCATGGTGGTATGACACCCAAGGATAGGAGGAAAGAAGGAGACAAGAAGGAAGGATGCAGATGTGTTGGATGCTTTTACAAAGGTTTGGCTGGTCCTGGACCTGAGAGGTGTAAACAGCAGAAAACAATACATGATATAGGTGTGTGTGTTTGTGTGTACATGTTTTGTCACCCTTTTGTAATTATAAATTCGAAGTCTAAGCCACTTCTCAGGCGGCCTCAGGGAGAAGGGCCACAATGTTCCCTCATATGTACACAAGGGACATAACACATACTTCCACAAAGCATATAAATAAAAAATACATCATTATCACATCGTAAGCAAAGAAATACCATTCCAAAATCCTTTTACACTTTTTCATTTCTTATGTTAGTTGCATCATTTTGAATGGTTTTCATTGAATTATTGGCCATACTTTTTTGTTACTAACAATAACATCATTATTAAAAATGACAACACAAAATAGAATCAGTGAGCTGTTACCTTTCCGCTTGGCAGTGAGCTCACTGTAAGAAGAAGGAGGAGAAATCAGATATTCTTCTCTTTTCCAGCAGTACTTGACTTCAGAAAGCTTGTCTTCTCACTGGAAGCTTCTCTTGTGTGGCACCTCTTCTCTGCAGCATCTACCAGCAGCTGTTCTTCTTGCCGTTGTCCCGTTCTCTGGACAGTGGAAGGGGCCTCTCCTAAAGTAGCCATCCTCAGCGGACCGCCCATGTTTCACATGCACACAGACTGATGTCACACACCTTTTTCACAATCTCATCCACTGGTGTACCACACAACAGAGGAGGGAGTCAGGGCTATTTATAAAACATTATTGTAGATAAAGGTGGATTACAGTGGTTGCAAATACAATACTCACAACTTCAGATGGATAAAGGAAACTGTAACAGTATCACTGAGTATCTCTGTATGAGCTATAAGCACAATGGGGAAACAAGTACAACAAAGCGTTTGAATCCAGCTGATGCCATTATTCATCAATCTGTCACAGAGTAACTTTGCAAAAAAAAGGAAAGGTCAATTCCTCTCTGTTATCTAAATTTGAAATCTGAAAATGATTAAAATACAATAAGGAGATGTGTTTGTCATTGGATAGGGTTGCCTTTAGAGCCTGGCACCTTTTCTAAATCGATTTCTATTAACTGATGAATGCACATAGCCTACAGCTGGGCTTAACCAGATTCTGCTCCCCTCAGGGAAGTGCACCAATATACTGTATTAGCTCCGCTGGGATAAGTAGGTTATGTTTTTTATAGCTCTATAGTGTAATAATGATCCCTGACCCTGACCAAATTGTATATCAAACTTGTATCAATCAATCAATCAATCAATCAATCAATCAATCAATCAATCAATCAATCAATCAATCAATCAATCTGTTAAACTTTATTTCAACTATATAAGTACCATGCATTATAAGAAGATGAAAACAACTCTCATGTCTCTCTGAGTAATATGGAGTTAAAGCTATCAGCTGGTTAGCTAAGCTTAGCAAAATGTGTGGAAACACAGGAACAGAGAGCAAAATCCACCTACCAGCACCTCTTTTTTCAGAGCTTTTATGTTGTACCTATCTAAAGATCCAGCCTAGCTGTTCACTCCTGCTTCCAGCCTTTGTGCTAAGCTAAGCTAGGAGATGATAAACAGCTGCTGGCTAAAGTTCCATGTTTACGATGCAGTAATTGTTGTTGAATTTATTCCATCCAACTCTCCGCAAAGCAAACAAGTGCATTTGCCAAAATTATTATTAACAGTTTTTTATTTTTCTTGTGGTCGTGTCCACCCATTGTATTTTTGCATTGTTTTATGTTATGCTGGCGCTAAGAAAGGGATTTTGACAGTTGACCACAGCAAATCTCACACTTGACAGCTGCTTAAAACGGAGTTATCTCTGAACTAATGTTAAACCCCCTTGACACAGACACCTTCTACTGTACACACAGAGGGGTTACAGCAGGACGGGCGTATGAGCTCGGCTAGCCTTGAAGCTTTCCATCACAGGATTCCAAGGTCATTCCCAGAGGATTAACAGATCAAAAAGACTGCCATTTTAGCACCATGCTGCTCTGCCAGCGTCGGCCCAACAGCTATTTGACCCAGGGATTCCCATTGTCAGGGAGATCTAGCGCTTGGGTGCTTGATTAAAGCAGGGTGAGTTGTCCAGGCATCTCTGTGTGGGGTGGACCATTGCCCACTCTGACAGCTGTGTGTTTGTGTATAAGCGCTGGCAGGGTTACCCTCCAAATCAGTGGAGACAGAGCGGTGTCAACAAGGCCTTAGAGTGAGACACCATTCCACACATTCTGGGACATTGAGTGTGTATGGTATGTGTGTGTGTGTGTGTGTGTGTGTGTGTGTGTGTGTGTGTGTGTGTGTGTGTGTGTGTGTGTGTATGTATATATATATATATATATATAGATATTATATTCTCACATCTGACAGCCAATTTAAAATTGAAAAAGGTAAGTCAAACTTTGATGCAGAAAATGTGCTATGAAGAAAAGCATTTCCCTAATGCTCTTGTTGAATAAGCACAAAAATGCCATGTGGTTTAGCCTGAACATTGGTGTACAAATAGCTGGCACTGAAAAAATTATTTAGCCCACAGCTTTGCCTTTTCGAGTGTTTAAATATGTTCCAGCAGTTTTGATTGAAGGGGATATAGGAATTAATCTAAGCTGACAGAGAGATCATACACACATACACCAATCTCAAAGTTCAGCACTGTTGTGGTTTGGTATTCAAAATCAAAGTCAAAGTCAATATTATTATCAATTTCTCTCTGTGATACAAAATAACCTGTTCTATCACCCTTCATTGTTTTGGAGTATCTTTCTCCACAAGACAGATGTCTATTTGCACAGAGTACCAAGAGATCAGAATCACTATTTTAAAAAGCAGGATCCGGTTTCTTTATCCTTCCATCTCTCGCATGCAGTCCTGAGCTAATTAGACTACAAAGATGCCAGCAACTTCTTTGCCAGCCTCTGCCAGAGGCAAAACTCAAATTAAAGGGTAAAGGCATGCCTCAGGGTAAACAAATGGTCCCACTCTGGTTCTCACTGTTCCACTGCTCTTTCCGAGCGTGGCTGATGTGTGAGGTGAAGCTGCCCTTGAGCACTAGCAAGGGAAACATCTTCCTAATCTCCTGAGAGCGATATTTCCATTTGGCAGAACTTTGACACTCTTTGTTCACAAGTTCATAAATATCTAGCCAACTCTGCAACATTTTGTTAAAATTAGACTTATAAGATAAGGTTCAAAGTTTGTCTAACAAAAAGAAAAGTAACGAAACTAAATGTCATTTAAGGTTGAGGTTTTTATCATGTTACATGTTTATTTTTTATTTTGAATGGAACTTTGTTAGCTACTTCTCAACTGCTGTTTCCAAGATCACAAAATTAATGTACTGTGAACCTCAGCTTTTCAGTCCTATTAAAAAAGAAAAAGTAAAGTACAAAAAACTGCTCAATGTTCGCAGGAAGATAGAAGAAGAAGAAGAATTCCTTTATTGTCATCGCACCAGGTACAACGAAATTTAAAAAAGCAATCCTCGCAGTGCATTTCCACATAATACGAACAAATATATATCTATATAAACATATACACACATAAACATATGCTCACACATCTAGATTGTGTCACATTAGAAAGTTCCAGAGCAGCTAAGCAGAGCCAAAGGTTTCATCGTTTTTCTCAACTTCTTACAATAAGATTAGGAAGTCAAATTGACTGATTGCAACACACTTGTCCATCAGAAAACATTTATTGAATTTAAAATTGATTCCTGCCCTTTGAATCAAACCATCTTTCCCCTCTGTTAAGCCCCGAGCCTGTTTTTCAGGTTTCAGGCTCGAAAATGACATGCCCAAAACAAATGACTACAACTTCACTTCTAAAAGGGTTATATGAATAATTTCTGTGAGTTGGATGTAGAAGTGTCAGAATCAATATAGATTTTTCTCAGTCAGAGTAAATTCAGATGGAACATAGTAAAAAAAGGTAAATTCTTACCTCCGCCTAAAGAAAAAACATTACTTATAGTGAAAACCACTCTTGAATGATGGGATGGTAGACTAAAAGCTTTAGGACTCCAAACTATAACATATAATAAGAACCCTGTATCAAGATTGAGGCAAAACAAGTTAAATTTGACCTTTTTAGAGAGGTTTAGCAAAAACAAGTTCCAGGCGGAATAAGCTTTCTGCACATTTGGGTACATCTGGTTCCATCAGTGCCATTTGACCTTTTTCAGGTACCAGACTATAAAAATGATGTATTACATTGAATTATCACCATAGGTATTCATTCCATCCAAAGAAAAAAAATTAAAATAAAAAAATAACTTTTTTGTGAAGAAAAAAAAAGACCTGCCGACGGGGGCTTTGGGGCTTAACAGGTTAAAAAACGATTCTGTGCATGGGATAAACAAATAAATTCAAACAAAGAAGTGATCTTATTTATGTTATTTCAACAGTTTATTGTTGCAAACATTACATATTTGTAAATTATTTCCAAATCCTCGTGCTAGCCCTGATTAATTGCCCTACAAATGTACCTGATGCTCATAAAGAGTAGATTCTTTGTATTTTTAATAATTACACCGTTTTGAAAACAAGATGGAGCAGAGTGTTGTTATGATGTTGGAAAGGGCAGCCTCCTGTCTCCTGTCTGACCAGCTGTTGTTTTGTCGAACCAACTGAGCATGCTGTCAAGATGAGGAAGGATTCCCACTGGCCAGCAGCTCAGCCTGGCACTGTAATTACTGAGATGGCTGAGGACAGGTGAGGGCCTCATTACACAACACACCCGTGTATAATCGCACACACAGACGCACAAATGTTTCACTCTCATAAACACATACAAAAACGTCAACATGCATGCTGGAACATATGCTGTAGAGGAATTCAGGGAGGGAGGGAAGAAGCAGAGAATGCAGCAAACCGGCAGAAAAAAACTATAGAATAGGCACGGGTCATTTACATTTAGCAACATGCCTGAATTTGAATGATGGCTTGTATTTGATTAGCATCTGCCCTGATGTGTAGGATATTGAGTTTGTTAATGCGTATACCTGGCCCAGCCTGTGATAATACTCTTTCAATCTTAGGTAATATTAGAGTATCCTCAGTTGCCAGCATCTGAGTGCAGTCTGATGATGGATGAACGAATTGGATGGAAGTGGAATGGCAAACAGTCTCCCAAGGATAGTCATCCTACATACTTACACTTTTATCCCTTAGTATCAAGTTATCAAGGCCTATATAATTATCCCTGGAGCATATTTGTCTGTCTTTTGTTGGGAGATTAGAAAGGCATGCAGCATGGATTTGCCATCAGAGTTTAGGTGCTATATAATGAAGCTACCGGGCAAACACTGGATGTCAGTAAGGCTTGAATACCAAGTGACAGATGGTTAGCTCAGAAGAGAAAAGAGAAGGACTACTTACATAAAAAGGGCAAAAGTAATACGATCATTAGCTTGACAGATATACACCACAATAGAACATTATGTCCCTGCTTGGATAACCACTTGAAAATAAAATCAGTTTCAACCATGTACATTTCAAACACCTGTCTATTAGAACTTCACTAGAGACACACATTGTTAGACATTGATTTGTAACCCGTTTACTGTACCTCTACTGTAGTGGGGTTTACAGTACAATATATGTACATTAGGAGTACCTTAGAGTATAACTGTTTTACTGTATCTTTGGTATAAATAATGATTATGTAACTGTGTTTTATAACACAGTACTGTTTATTCGTTTTTAATTTTTACACTGTAATTTTGTTATTACGAAATATTATTATTAAGGTTTACTATTCAATATAAGAATAAGTATATCTTGATGCCAGCAATTTTAAAGTAGAAGTAAAAGGGAGAAGCATGCAGGACTCTAACTTGTATTTTTACACAATATGGTTGTTTAAGAACTGAGAAATTCTTCCACCATAGAATTGTATACATTTCATTTCATTTCACACCTTATACGTTCCTCTTGTGCTTTTTCTGCTCTGACACGTTAAAAATATCTGCTCGGAAAAGGGTGTTAAGGGAGGCCAGCAATGCTGTGTGTAGTGTATAGTGTAGTCAGTAAAAGTTTGCAGGTGCTGCTCTCGAGAATCGCCGGGAACGTTCGGTGTTCGGTGCTTGTTGCACCCGGACAATAAAACATGACGCACCATGGATGCTACTGTGGAAAACAACGTGAATCCCGTCAGGAGGAGTAAAGAGGACAAGAAAGTTATTCGTAAACAGTTAAAAGCGAGTCACACTTTGCTGAAACATGAAGGCATTAGTACAGCACCGCAGCCTACAAAGGTATTTTAAAATAAAATAAAAATAAAGAGTAGAGTGAGCGAAGAAAGCTAGCTAACATGTAGCTTTTTCCAATCAACGTCTTAGTTACATCTTTTAAGATATTACAGCTACAGCAATAACAAATAATTTAAGTCTGACTCAGTTCGGCTAAGTCATGGTTGTTGTCAATGATCTGTTGTATCCTAGGACAAGTCTATATAATGACAACGGGAAGTGAGTGTCATGACAATGTAGCAAATGAAGTAATCTCAACAGAATGAAACATTCATTTACTGTAAAGTTAGAAGTCGTAAAAATAATGTATTCTCTATTTTTAATTACCATGGCTCTAACTTATATGGCCTATGTTTAAAGTTTTTCTTTACAGCAAAGATCATACTTTCTAAGCAGACTTAGGGGTAATTGGGTGTATCAGATGATGTTCTTATCTTACTAGGTTGTATTACAGGACAAAGTGAGTTCAGAGGTGTATGTATTATAAGACAATCACTCTGTACAATTAAAGTCTTTCTTGCTTTTCTTGTAGTTTTTGTTGTTAAACTGTTCTGCATAAAATCAACCAGTCTGCCTCTGTCTCCTCTGCAGAGTTTGGTGGTGGCCAATGGGGGTCTGGGGAATGGCGTCAGTCGAGAGGAGTTGTCTGCAGCACTGAAACAGATGGGAGAGGTGGACAAACTGATCATGCACCCTAACAAGCCCTACGCTTTTGTCACATACAGGTACAGTTGCTGCATGGACAATACCAGGAAGTTATTCTAAACCTTTAAAACATGGTACATTTGAGTTCAAAACTTACACTTGTGTTATTGTCATTTTCCAGATCTGAGGAGAGTGCCCGAAAAGCCCACATAAACCTTAACGGGGAAAAGCTTCAATGTGGCGAGAACAGCGTCACACTCTACCTCAGTTATGTAGACTCAGGTACTTGGCTTTTACATTGGCACCAACAGTTGCAAGCATACACCACTGTAAGATCTGCATTAATTGTTTAAATCATTGTTTGTGTATATTTGAACAGTAAGTTGGATAACTAAAGACAGCCATTAGATTTGTTCATTGTTAATGTAAAATAAATATAAAGAAATCCTTAAATCATGCAGCACCTTGTTTTAACACAGGTTGTGTTGTGCTTTACATCAACTTCAGTACAGATAAAAGGCTAACCCTAACCCTAAAAGAAAAAAACAAATACAGAGCGAATAAGAGAAAGAAATGAAATAATGCATACTTCCCACACAACATATGGCAATCAGTCAGAACCCAGATCAGCACCTTGTCATTATAGAAAAAGTAATCCTAGGAAATGGGTTTTTAGATGTATTTGAAATTGCAGCTTGTGGCAAATCATCTATTTAACAAATCCAACTATGCTTTGTTTATGTGTGTATGCAGTAACCTGTGAAGAGGAGGCGTCTGTTCCTCTGCCAGAGGGATTGGTCTTGGTGGAGGACTTTGTGTGTTCAGAGGAAGAGGCTCTGCTGCTCGCTGCCATTGACTGGTCGTCTACTAATACTGATGTCACTGGTGAGGGTCTGCATAATGGGTTTTGTCAAATGTTTTTTTAGTTAACTTCTGGCTTAAGTTGCTATGTCGAACTTCTCGTTATCACCCAGGAACTTGATCATCAACGAGAGACTCTCTTTATGGATCTTTGATAATTAATACTTTTAATGTCTATTATTAAGCTAAGAAATAGAGGAAATAAACCTTGTTCCTTATTTTGCTAACATGATTTGCTAAATGTATTCTCATGTCTTTCAGCTCAAAAGGCTCTGAAGCATAGGAGAGTCAAACATTATGGATTTGAATTTCGCTACGACAACAACAACGTGGATAAGGACAAGCCATTACCTGCAGGTAAACTTGCTTTTTTTATCTAAATATTTTTCTTGTTTTTTTGGTTCATACTTGATAAGTTTGGCCAACGCCAATACGTTTTATTCACCGCAAAGCATCGCTGTGTATTTCGAGAAACTATCAGTTAAAGTTGCGAAATATCAGAAAACACAAGTTCCAAACTTATTCTCAAGCAGAAAATTACCACCTATTAATATATTTTGGAGCTCAGCTTGGGAATTTGAGTATTGTATTTTTGAAAATTTCAAGTACAGTATGATACCTCCATATATTTATTTAAATGTTTAACTCATGTATTGGACATATGACGTTATATAGTACTCTGACTGCTTCTAATTGTAATGGTATCGAAAATTACAATAAGAAAATTATTAAGAACGAAAATGATCTATAATAGCTCATAAATGTGTTTGTGTCCCTGTATATCCAGGTATTCCTCAGGAGTGTCTCCCTGTTCTGGAGCGGTGTGTGAAGAACCAACACATCGACATCATGCCAGATCAGCTCACTGTCAACCAGTATGAGTCTGGACAGGGTGAGTTACTCCAGTCTGTGTCTCTAATGACTGTATTTGGTACCGACTAAGATAAGTTTCACAGGACTTAACAAGGCTATGTCAACATGACTGACCATGTGTATGAGAATGCTAGTCAAAACACAAATGACATGCAATATATAAGATCTATGTCTGTAAATGTTAAATAGTTCATACCCATAATTAAATCACAGAAATAGCAATGTTTTTACCTTGGAGCAGTACAGTAAATCAATATTTAGTGGATTAACTGATTTATAGGGACCCTTGCAGAGTTCTTTGCTAACCATAACTGCCGCTTAAACAATGTGGAGAAACTCAATTAAAAGATTGTGAAACTTAAAGACGCCTTATTGCATTTTCAGACGCTCTAGTTAAAAACACTGTTCTCACAAAATACAGACACACATTTCGATTTTAATTACTCATACCAACAGGTGGCAGCAAAACCTTTCCAACATTATATTATAAGGGATAATAAAAGTCATTGGTCCCTTTTAGTTGCTTGTCAACAGATTTGCAGTGCTGGCAAAACTTTGAGGGCTGAAATAAGGATTTTATTTAAAGATTTGTTTCAAGCACATCAATTCAAATGTATTGTTACATTCCAGTATGATTTGAGTGTCCCACATCACCAAAGGTTCAATGGTGTCCATCAGACATCCAACAAAACGAGTGGATTATTTATTTGAAAGAACCTTGATGCATCTCGACTTGTCCAACAATTTTAATCCTACATGTATATTTTATAATATTTTCAGGCATTCCTCCTCATGTGGACACTCACTCCGCCTTTGAGGACACCATTATGTCACTGAGCCTGGGGGCAAAGGTAAGAAAGTCAGTCCGTCATTTTGTAATATTAAACATTTAAACAAAATATAATTTACATGCTGTTCAGGGAACAACTCCCAACAGCCCTGTGTGTTGGTAATTGACCCAACCATACAATTAATCAATCAGTGTGTGTAGCCAATATCGACCGACGCTGCTCAAGGTGCAATCATCCATCATTTAAAAGAAAGTTACCCATTCAAAGATCAGGGATGCAGAGCTAAAAGGCAGGTGTAAATGGAAATATACTAAGTGCCATCAGACGTATGTTTTTATGATTGTATGCCTTTCTTGTTTCCTTCACTTCACTTGACTGATTCATCTGTCTCAGGTTAGTGTGATTTTGTCTGTTTGTGATTTTACTGACATTTAATTTAGCTTTGCACCATCTTTGACACACTTCTATTTTGTCAGATTCTCATGCTCACAGTGGCCTTCAGTGGATTCAGTACGTAGTAAATGACTCTTTTAGAGGCGTCCCCTTGGTTGTGGACAGCACAGATACAGATTAACTTTTCTAAACCGTGGGATTTGCTTTGTCCTTGACTACTCACCTGGTGCTGGGATGTTGATTTAGTCTCTGCAGGGAGGCTGCTGCAGACGAACACCCATCTGTCCCTGCTTGTCTGAAAGAGCAGGGGCTCTATTAGCAATCAGCTGTCATCTGTCACAGCATCTGTCACACACAGACTGACAGACAGCATGTGTGTGTAGTGCAGTGCGTTCTGTGTCCCAGATCTTCAGTAGAGATTAAGGGCTTCAAAACGTGGAAACAATATCAAAAAAGAAAGGCTTTTGCAAACAAAACAAAAAATGATTTATTAAGCACTAGTAGGACATTTGACATTTTACAAATACCTATGTAGAGTTCACCTGATTAATTTCCCAGGCTGAGCTCTTCCATCAATACTTCAAACATTTACAGATTCACAACACAACACAACACTCAAAGATATCAATTACATAGGGTTTCATTTAGGGCTGTCAGTCGATTAAAATATTGAATCGTGATTAATCGCATGATGTCCATAGTTAATCGCAAATTAATCGCACATGTTTTATCTGTTCTAAATGTACCTTAGAGGAATATTTTTCAAGTTTGTAATACTCTTATCAACATATGAGTGGACAAATATGCTTTATGCCAATGTTTGTTTATTATCATTGGAACAATGACAAATATTCACCTGAATATTCTCAACACAACAACCTGGAACCTCTCTCTCTCTCTCTCTCTCTCTTACACTCTCTCCCAACCCTGTCTACTTCTTTGCACTTCATTTCATTTCATTTCAAACCTTTATTTATCCAGGTGTATCCCATTGAGATAATTGATCTCTTTTTCAAGGGAGACCTGCACTGAGCCAGTTGCTCAAACAGACAAGCCTGTTTACAGTTGTCGGCAAAATGACGCTCCTCTGTCTTCATCTTCAGTCAAAGCATGAGACTGAAGTTCCCACCTAGGGTCAAAATAATGCGCTGTGATGTGCAGTCGACACGTTGTATGCGATCCGAATTATCTAACGCAGCCCCTCGTCCTCCACAATGTTAAGCTGTAGCCACCCATTTAGCTATCGCTGTTGTTGTCCAGGCGTCTCCCCGGCAAAGCGAGCGGCAGGAGCGGGGCTGTCGGCATCAACTGTGTGCTTGGCTTGCTGTTTAAAACACCTTTTTTTGTATCCATATCTCTCGCTAGAATCTTCCACCATCCAACTAACAACAACAACAACAACGTCAAGCCTTTGGGCTCTGAAACTACGGGGCGGGCCGAGGACAAATACACATGCGTTAATTGCACGTTAAAAGAATTAGTGGCGTTAAAAAATGTTTGCGTTATTAACGCGTTAACTTGACAGCCCTAGTTTAATTGCATGACATTAACTATTTCAAACCCTAAAAGCAAGGTTTTATAAATATGTTGACGTGATTATAAAGAATAAGAATAGCATTTATTTAGACTATTTGGAAAAACGATACAAGGGATTAACTTTTTCAACACAAAGGGAGGACTCTGCAGAAAAATCAAAACAACTGCTGGTACACATGAATAACCCGATGTACTGGAGATTCCTATTCCCTGGGGTTTTATTAGTATTGTATGTGTAACTGTTGTTGTAGAAAGTTGATCCTATTGCGATCCAATTCTTCAATGCATTGTAAAGTAAAGCTCACTTTCAGTCTATCACCTGAGAAAGGTATTGCTTCTAAAATATATAAAGTTAATAAACTGAATTAAAAACGTATAGACTTTTCTGCAGTTAAATGAATTAGTCTGTTATTTAATAGCTTTACAGGTTTAATAACCCTGTTTGTGTTTGCAGGAGGAGTGTGCGTGCCTGCATGTGTGTCTGAATGATGAATGGTCTTGTAGTAAAGCGTAGCTCGCAGCATCACCATTGATTTAGTCACCGTCCACTGGTTTCATTGATTGGCCAATACTCCTCTGATGGGAACAGCACTGTGTGTGTGTGTGTGTGTGTGTGTGTGTGTGTGTGTGTGTGTGTGTGTGTGTGTGTGTGTGTGTGTGTGTGTGTGTGTGTGTGTGTGTGTGTGTGTGTGTGTGTGTGTGTGTGTGTGGTGTGTGTGTGTGTGTGTGTGTGTGTGTGTGTGTGTGTGTGTGTGTGTGTGTGTGTGTGTGTGTGTGTGTGTGTGTGTGTGTGTGTGTGTGTGTGTGTGTGTGTGTGTGTGTGTGTGTGTGTGTGTGTGTGTGTGTGTGTGTGTGTGTGTGTCTGTGTCTGTGTCTGTGTCTGTGTCTGTGTCTGTGTCTGTGTCTGTGCATTTGCTGGTGATGCATGTATATTGCTCTCTCACAATCATACACAAACACTTATCAGTCCTTTACTTACTCACAAACACACGCTTCTACTTCACAAAATCCAATTTTCCTGCTGTCAGAAGTTGGAGGGATGCAGTTTGAAATTGTGCAGATGTAATTTCCCAGCAGGGCTCATGCTGTTATGCGCTGTAAGAAAACATCAGGATCAAACACCAGCGCTGGGGTGGAGATGGCTAGTTGTTAGTGAGAGAGATAGCAGGGTGTGTGTGTTTGTTTTTATCCTCTCTGTGACATCATGCATTATTTTCATAATTGAATATTTATTGATTCTGCAGTTTTGTGGTTTTGAAATAATAATTACGTTTTAGGAAAAAACATTTACTGCTCTACAGACTATAACTCACTCAGCACATTAATATTGCATGAACAATTTTTATAAATACATAAATTAGACACATAACTACTGATTATTCAAAGGTCTAGTAAAAATGTCCATACATCAAACAGCCACACTACATATGGCCTTATTAAAATACACAATCAAATGATAAAAACTAAACCAATTGCAATTTTGCAAAGAAACATTTATAGTTGTATCCTCCTTTTGCTGTGTGTGAGTGAGTGACTTCCTCAGTATTCCTTCATAAGCATGTTTGTATTTTAAACGCAGACGGTGATGGAGTTCCGTCACCCCGATGGTCGCCTCGTTGCCGTGGTTTTACCAGAACGGAGCCTCCTGGTGATGAAGGGAGAGAGCAGATTCCTCTGGACCCATGGGTGAGCCGGCCTGGGTCAGATGGATCCGTCAGTCAGTTTATCCTAACATGAGCCTTAGGTTGATTCACACATTAGTGACAGGTCTTTTCTACCTCTTTTCCATTAAAGGGGAAAAGTAATTTATTGATGTAAATCTGGGCTTTATTGCAGTATTTGTCACATTTAATCCCTTCCAACATGAAGATAAAACCAATGACAGGCTCAGGATTTGGTCACATGTTCTGGTATTCACAATAAAGTGCAGATTTAAGCCTGTCGAACACTACACTAACTGTCTGTTATCTTCTCCCAGGATAACTCCTCGTAAGTTTGACATGGTGCCAGCGTGCGACCCACAATCCTTTGGTGATACTACCCCTGACCTCCGGACTAGCAGCAATCTCACTTTGAGCAAGAGGGGCACCCGCACTTCTCTCACTTTCCGCAAGATCAGACATGAACCCTGCCGCTGTGGTGAGAATCTTGAATGTGAACAATAAAACACACAATTTACTACCGGCATTTGACAACCAAAGGCACATTTTGTAAATAAAATAAAAACGTACCATCTGTAAAGTACATATGATACATGCTGATGATACACACCTTTATCTCCCCATTTAACCCCTTTCCCTCTCCTCCCCCCCTTCTCTCCAGCCTTCCCCTCTGCCTGTGACAGTCAGGGAGCCCCCCCAGCACCCTCTCTGCCGCCCCCTCCCTCACTACCCTGTTGCCATGCCGACGCGGCCCTTCTGGAGGAGCAGTATGTGCACCGGGTGTACGACGCCATCGCCTCGCACTTCAGCAGCACCCGCCACTCCCCCTGGCCTCGTGTCTGCCACTTCCTGTCCTCGCTCCCACCTGGCAGCGTGCTGGCTGACGTGGGCTGTGGGAACGGGAAATACCTGGGAGTCAACCCCGAGCTGAGTGCAGTGAGTGTCCTCATGTATTACAGTAATGTCTGTGATTATGTGATTCTTCAGTGATCCCCGTGGGGGAATGTCCTTCTCTATTCAGTTTCTTTTGCTACTTCTTCCTAGATTATCCCCACTGTAGAATGCCTCACAACTTCATAAGTCATGAACAGATCATGTCATAACGTCAGGCTCTGTTTCACAAACGGTCCGCAAATAATTTGCAGCGGAAATAATGAGTTTTTAATGTTATTTTCAGAATTTAATTTCAGTGTTGGCTTTGTAGCATTGATTCCAACTTGTGTGTTCCAAGAATTTACAATATATCCAGAGTATTCGGTTCAAATATCAAAAGTTCTTATAAAAAGGTTGTTGTAAACATCTAAAAAAATTCACATCATGTTTTTGTTTTTTTCATATATCCTTCTTCAATCAATATTTGTTGCCGTTCTCCCTAACCCTAACACTTTCACTGAGGTCAAAAAATGACATCTCTCGAGCTCAATCTCCTGTGTTACAGTTCAACAGCACGTTGGATTAGTCTCCTGCCGACATGTATTCATGAGTAACATTCATTCAAGAGATATAACTAAATTAATCACTTTATTCAAATTGAGGATTTAGTTTGAGGACTATTTATAGGGTTATGGCATCATAAAATATGATGAATGACACTCAAAGCGTCATTTGAACATCTCAATAGAAGCTTTAAATACAAAATAAAAGCAGACATATGGTACAGGCCTACTAACCAGGGCTAAACTTGTTCCAACAAGTGTTTTCCTTACTGTAACTCATATTAAATGTGATCCTCCCACTCTCAGAAAGAAGGCATATACTGTAAACTTAGCTCCAAAAATAATTAACTGTTATGATAAGCCTCTATTCCAAGAGAAAATGATTTCAAAATATATTTGTTCAAAGGTTTGTATCTTTGCACTTTCCGTTGGTAAGTAGCTGCTGTTTTTACTTATTTACCACCTTATGTAAAGTCATGTGCTTAATGATTTTGTTCTAAATCTAAAACATGTCAAAATGTTAACATACAAGTAAAAAGCTTTATTAATTGGCAGTAATCAGAAAGTAGCTTGGTTGTTAAGTGTAAACATTAGGTCTTGTGTTAAATGAGCTAAAAAAGAAAGAAAAATAATACACCTAGGGATGATATGCTCAGTGCTGATGCCTGTGTGGCTCTCACTGGGATTTCTGCTGGTTGTCATTGTTTTAAGCTCAGTTTCCATGGCAATATCCTACATTTACTGTTTACGTATGCACACTGGGATATTCATGTTTGGGATTTGGAGGTGCGTGTAAGCAGCTTATCCTGACTCAGACCGTGATAAATCATTATTGAGAACACTCTAATCATGCAGGTCACACACCAACTTTCTGAGTTTCTGTTTTTCTCTCCTACATTTATTTCATTCCCTCTGCGCCTTCTTTTTGTTTCATCTCTATATTCCCCCCTCTCCCTCTTCCCTTCTCACAACCTCTCCCATTGCAGAATAACACTGTTAACCTTCCCATTTTCACTTTAAATGAAGAGGCTAGACCTTTGTGTGTGTGCATGTCAGTAACAGATTGAGAGTCGAGTAGTATTTCTCACCATCTCTTATCACCTCTGTCTCTTTGGGGAGGAAGCAATAAGATGCGTGATTGAATTGCTCCCTGGGACCAAATGTGTTACTGAATTGTTTATTTTCTTTCACTTATCGAATGTCTTCTTCTATGTTTTAAATGTACGTCTATGCCTTTTGCTCAAACTCTTTGTTTAATATTTTCCCATTCTGTCTCTGGACTTTCTCGTGTCTCATTGGCTAAAGGAAGAATAAGAGCTTGTTTGACTCTGTGCTGTTTGATTTTATATTATATAAATTGGGTACAATTCAAAATAAAGAATGCCCTTACATTAACATGAAACAAATACTGATTCTCGTCTTGTTTTGACCTTTTACATGTTTAGACCTCTCTGTTCCACTGTTCCTGGTTTTCTGTTTGTGAATGATTTCTTGTTTGCCCATTTTTATTGTCTTTCCAGGTTGGTTGTGACCGCAGCAGTGCTCTGGTACAGATCTGTGCAGAGAGAGGTTTCCAGGCGTTTGTATCCGATGCGCTCAGTGTCCCTCTGCGAGCAGCCTCCTGTGATGCCTGCATCTCTATAGCTGTCATACACCACTTCTCCACACAGGTACACACACTGAGATTAACCCTCACAAAAAACAACAATGTTGTTCGGTCACTTGACTAAAACTATATTTTGGGCCCTATGAAACCTTTTTTTTTAGTGTCTTAGGAACTTTTCTACAGTTTCAACCACAGGCTACAAGCTTGAAACTTTGGGTAAACATACAGTATATCCAAATTTGGGACAATTCCCTACACTCTCAAATGTGTATCCTCAAAGGGATCAGGAACTGTTGGGTATTTGGCTACACTGAAATTGACAATGTTGTATTATTCTTAAAATAAGAAGTTATTCATATGAATAAACTGTTATTTCATACATACATTGATAATTTATAATATTGTTTTTAATGATTGGCATATCCATTAAATGCCTTGGCTTCTGCTTCCTGACTAAGTTGTTTTGTGTGTGTGTTGTAGGAGCGTCGACTGGCAGCAGTGCAGGAGCTGGTGAGACTTTTGAAGCCTGGAGGTCGAGCGCTAATCTACGTTTGGGCTTTTGAACAAGAGTACAACAAGCAGAGGTCCAAGTACCTCAAAGACCAGAACAAAGAGCTTCCTGAGAACCACAACCCAGCTGAAAACTCACCAGAACAGAGCCAGGAGCCTCAAGGGAAATCGAGTGTCCATAACAGCAGTCATTCAGAAGACAACTACAGGACAGTAGACAACAATCAACATGTGACTGATGGCAAACTCAGTGTGCACACCAACCGCACAGCCTTCGAAACCAAGGACCTTTTGGTTCCCTGGCATCTGAAAGACGGGAAAAAACGAGTGGAGGGAGATTCAGGAGAGGGTGGGAAGAAGGATAAACAGAAAGAGAAATCTAAAAAGACCTCAAGGTCTAAAGCCACATTGGACTGTAACCCTGCCACCAGTCCGGGCCTTGACTCCAACATGTTTTCTGATTCAAGTCTTGACACCATTGCTGCCACTCACAGCTCTAAACCCAGTCCATGTTGCGACACATCACAGACCTGCAGTTCTGCTCTAAAGTCGGAGTCGGAGATCATCCCAGCTCCAGTTTTTCATCGCTATTACCATGTGTTCCAACAGGGTGAGCTGGAGCAGCTGTGTGCTCAGCAGGCAGGAGTCACAGTGCAGAGCAGCTACCACGACCAAGGAAACTGGTGTGTTATACTAGAGAAGGCCTTAAACAGATGAAATGACACGCTTAAAATTGAGCTACACATATATGTTGAAGCACAAGAGTTAATGCAATGTAAACAAAGACTAAATTAAATAAATAAATGTAATGACTTTACAAATGCCTGCCTTTGTTGTGCTTTTACTTCTAGCATTATTCCTACTAAGGTTGGAAAGTAACATGGTCTCAGGTTTATTTCCGAGTAGGTATACGCATACAACGAATTGGCGTTGCTGTAAAATGGTGTAAAACACAGTTATAGAAAGTTAGGAGATATGAAAAATATAAAAACTACTGTGAAACCATTATTAAAAAATGTTTAGAAGAAATATGCAATTACAATAAAAGGAACTAGAAAAAGAACACTACACATATTACTATGAAAAGAAATATCTGCAGTATATCAGAATTTAAAAAGTCTTGCACTGCACTTTTGCTTTAAATAAATGCAGCTTGCTGAAACATGTGAAGGTTGTTATAGGATGTTAAAAAGCACAGGTTGTAAACATACTCTAGGTGCTGTGTAAACTTTGACATTCTCCAGAGTGCTTACACTGTAGTGACATTTCAACAATATTAGTTACCTCACTACTTTGCTTCCTCAGTCTTTGACCTCGGTGTATAATATGAACTCACTAAGCTGTAAATGGCGTGTGCCCGACCTTTTCAAGTTAGGAGTGCATGTGTAACATGGCATTTCAGGCTGTTAAGCTATTTATTCATTCAAGAAGCAGGATTTTTTGTCTCTTTTAAAAAATGTGTCTGCAAGAGGAAGCGCGTGATTGTAGTAGATCATTCTCCAAACCATGCATTTGTGCATTTAGTAAGAGTAAAGTTAATGTGCAGTACTTCATCATAGGTTGTATGAGTTAAAGATTTAAAAATGAAAAACCTTGATGACTTTTTTTAATTTGCCAGCCTTGAACCTATAGTCTTAAATACATCATCTTTATTAAACAATTCCCTTGCGCACAATTCAAAGGCAGAATTTATTCCTTAGTTTTATATGTAATAAAAAAAGAAATCCCTTTGCTAGTCGATCCAAAGGATGGATCAACTGATCAATCCAAGCTTTAATTTCAGATTAATGCAACCAACCAGATTAGTTTTACCAGACGGCTGATAAGACACAATGAATTGTAGAATAATGGGGTATTGATGGGAGTGGAGTGTAGCGCGGTTATTTGTTGTGGCCCTTCTGTGGCAGGTGGGTTATTGGTCAGCAGCTCTGACTAAACCCCTGTGGCTCCTAAATCCTCTGGGACCCAAACAAACACTGTGGTGCTGAGCAGGAGATGGTTTGGTGGCATTTATTGACGGTGGTTTATTGATTAAGGTGTAGCAGCCTACTAAATGTATGTGTGTGTGTGTCCGTATCATGGGCGTTACTTTGTTAAAAAAGTGGTGGGGACAATTTCTCCAGATTTAACATCAGCATAGCAGAAGACAAAAGATGTCCCTCCCCTGGGTGTTGAACCTTGTGCTCCATCATGAAAAGCCAATGCATGGACCACCAATACGTTTTTAAAGCCATGAACGCCCAACTATGTGACTTGCTGTGATGTGATTTGGAGTGCATTTGTACGTTTACCATGAGTCAATGAACATTTATACTGAAATAAAATGAAATATCTGATTGTTCAGTGCTGAAAAAGGAATAATTCAATTTTCTGTTTCACCATGACGATACCGAGTCTTAATTCTTTAGATTGACTGACTCTCTGTCTTTATTTTTTTATCCAACACATCCATTTTTATTAATGGGAGGGAAGGTACAGTCAAATATATTACATATGTTTTTTAAAGGACTTAGTAAAGGCTTGAGAACAGCTTTAAAATAAATGTCTAAAACACGGTGCAGTATTGTACTACAAGTACCACAATTCAACTGTTGACGTAAACGGCAGCGCTTTACGACACTCGTGAAAACATTCGGAGAGTGTCATGGCGGAGCATGTAGTCAGTTTTGAGAGTAAGGGCAGCATAGAGGAAAGGAAGCATAGTAAACGAGAGGCACGGCAAGAAGTGATAGACAAGGTAACAACTGTTTCATTTGTAGTAAGCAACCCTATAAGTAATGTGTGGTTAGCTTTGCTTGTTAACCGTTAAGTCCTTATTGAAAGCTAACAAGCTAAGTTGGCTAACAGCTAGTTAATGTTAGGTATGAATGAGCTCCACGGCTAAAAAGTGACATAGATTGCTATCGTTGCGTTTCTCTCCATCTCTCATTAGGTGTTCCTTCACATTAACCTTATGATTACCTGTGTCAGGACAGCAGAATACTGTCAAACTGCAGGCATCAAATTACAGGACTAACACTGCTGTTGAAGATAGGAGAGCAGCGGCTTTGTTTTGTGCAGGTCATGGTCGCAGATATACACTCCCCACCTTAATCAGGACAAATCAGGATTGCCTCGTTGTAAACACGTATGTACACAGGAATCTAATTTCGTGTTATCTGGATTGTGTGCAGCTGTGTTTACTTGGTACACAGAGCAGATGACGCAGACACATGACATGATGCTTCCTGTGGATGTGCACTGAAGGGAATCTGTTTGTAGAGCATGTCATATTTAGAATTGTTGCTATTTAATGGTTCACACTTTGAAAATGCATGTCTTGAAACTGTTTACATTTTGCTTTTTTATTGTGTATATATAATCATGTAATTAAAATATGTCAGTCATGGTCAGGCAGTATGTATCAACACCTCAAGTTAGCAATAATAAGGCACTAATGTGTGACTTTTACTATAATCTCTAAATAAATAACTATACATTCTTGATTCTGTGTAGTGATATATTTCTTGAACTCAAACATGTCAGTCATTGATTGTCAGGAAATACCCCCCCCCCCCCCCCCCCCCTCCCCCCCAACAAACCCAAATCAAAGAATAAAGACATCGAACATACAGAATGGGGGCAAGACATGGCCCGTCAAATGGTCCACTCAAATGGAGGAATTGGACAAAGTGTAGAAATTCAGGGAAAGTGACTTGCTCCTTAATAAAGAATGTTCTATTAACTCTCTGATATTCTTATTTATCCACTTGGGGTCTTGGTTTCTTAAAAAGAGTAGCATGGCATATGCTGGATTTGCTATCTTTGATCCTGCTTCCTTACAAACAATAAAGCTTAAGAAAATATATTTGTCTAAAAGGAGAAAAGTGGACATACAGTTTCCGGTTGATGCATAAATCATAGATGTCAGATTGTAGTGTTTGCTAATTTGACCACAGAGATACGAGTGCTTATCCACAGCCTGTGTTTGTATGATACACAGAGCAGATGATGCTGACAAATGATGCTTCCCGTAGATGAACACTAAATGTTGTAAATCACATTATCTGCCTGGCTCACCTGTGTTTGCACTGGCCAAAGCAAAGAGTGGAGCCGGGTCTGGTTTGTTGTTCGCTGTATTTGAAGAGGAATAGGCTCATTATGACTTCAAACTCATCAGTGCAGCGCCAAGATATATTTGTGCTGCTTGAAAGTCGTTAGATGTTCCAATATTTGCAAATCATAACTCTTGTCAGCCCTACCATGTTGTGAGTATAATGTGAAGACTGTGGGGTAGGTAATTCACTTCAGAAACACTTTTTGTTATATTCCATGGAATGCTCTTAACATCCCGATAGCAATGAATATATGAAATGCTTTGACAATAAATACATAAAAAAATGTCATCTGTGGAAGCCGTAGCGCTGTAAAAAGCACGACCAATCATCTGAGCCGGCCCGGCTAAAATAACTGGATGGCCTACCTGCCTGTCAGCCTTCCATCTGTGCACAAACTTATCTCGTGCCCTCATTGGTCATGTGCGCGTTCTTGTGTGTTGGAGGAGGGGCTCTGTAAGGAAGTCTGAAGGAAGAGGCAGATTTTTTCCGGTTGTGTACTTTCAAATTCTAGCGCACTCGAGCTGGTTTCTCCATTCTTACCTACCCTACCTTTAAGTAATGCCAAAAATGTATTCCTCTACTGACTTTATTCATCATTAACCTTGATATTTCCATCACAAAAAAGGAGACTAAATATGAAAAAACTAATTTGGGTGTGCACTAACTTTGAAATCGTTTTTCTTTTGAATAATCCCTCTTATTTACAATTGCTGTATTCAGGCCAAGGAGCAGTATGACAAGGCAGAAAGAAGGAAGGAGCTCAAAAGGCAGAGAGGGGAGGACACCTGGATGCTTCCTGAGATCAACCAGAGGCTGCAGGAGATAGAGGAAGTAAGATACAAAGTGTTTTCAATCCTTAATCACTAGATTACAAGAGATTGTTAACTCTTTGTAAAGTCACAAGTGTACTGTTCCTCAAACATTCATCACTATGTTGCCGTTATGTCATTGTATCAAACATTTATGAACCCTCTTACTCCCATTATTTTTGTATTTATATCGAAGCCATTATGCAGATAAAAGACAGGGAGGCCTTGGTGATATTGATGGTGGTTTCCAGAAATAAAATGGTGTAGTTCATCATACTTTTAGGAAACACCCTTGGATAGAGAAACATGGAGTAAACAAGAGGAGACACATGGTTATCACTGCATACCTTCCGTGATTGAGAGCTGGCTATAGGAATAGATTGCATCTTGATAATAAAGAAAAACACAAACAAGGAAAAATAACTACATCATTTATTGATATTACAGGAGGGATCTGTAAAAAGCAAAAAGAAGAAAGAGAAGAAATCTAAAAAGAAAAAGAAGGGCAAGAAGGAGAAGAAGACAGCAGGAGCAGACGATGGCTCTAAAGACAGCTCAGATGTAAGTTATTCATTTATTTTCAAATGTTGGATTCATTTTAAATTGTTTTATACTGTAATTATTTATTAATTTCAGAGTGAAAAGTACATTTGCAGTATTTTAAAGTAGGAACATCATTTTAAGTACAGGTTTAAGGAAAAAAACATTAAAAAAAGAAATCTAGGTTTTACAGGTGAAATGATTATGTTCCCATGAGCAAAGATCAGTGTCATACTGTGATTCATTGCAAGTTAAGTTGGAATATAAACAAGAGGGAAATGTTTTATAACAAGATGAATTAGTCAAAATGAAACGGCAATAATGGAGCATTAAGATTCAAGGACTCACGTTTTCACCTGATTGGTCAGGACATGCTGCCACACAGATAACTACAATGATGTAAAACTAACCTAAATGTTACTAGATGAAATGGTGATTTACTTTTGAATTAAAGTTAATACTGGTGGGTCAAAGTTTGTACCAGTCTTCTGTGGGGGGGGGGTCATCCGCGGATATGAGAAGATGATTTGTTGTGATTTTAATATTTTACAATATACTGAGTATTGTACTAACATAATGCAATTTTTTATGTGATTTATAACCTCTTTTTTATATCTGCTATTGAAAAAGTTACAATCCCTGACCTTGGCCATGACCTCATCAGAAACAAAACTTCATCTAGTTGACTGAAAAAGCAATTTGTGTTTGCATTTCTATTAGTTTTTATAATGAAAGATCAATACTAGGCGTCTATGTATCGATCATATATTGCCATGCATGATATTACGCCCCATTCTATATCAATTTTCCTCTTATCCCCCAGTGTGCAATTCATTACATGTAAACACCTTACAAAGCTGTGATAAAGCAAAGTCTTTCTTATACAGACATGGCGGTTTAAAAATAATTCTGCTTTGGGACTTGTACTTGATTTATTAATTTTCCACCCTTTTGTTTTGATAGGATAATCCCTTGTGTTGTTTTCCTTCTTCATCATCACTTTCCCCTCTCTGTTTTTCTCTCATGTCTCAGGACTCAGAGGGAGAGTGGGTGGAGGCTCCGGCTCAGACACAAGCTGCCAAAGCCTGGAAACTTCCTGATGAGTCCAAACCCTCAGAGAGCAGCGTCAGCACAGCACAGAGCGTCGAGGTAACATTTCATTGAAGAGGTTTTGTCTCTTAATACAACACATGGTGAAATCAAGACTATAATAAAGTCCCTTTCCGCACAGGAGATGTGTGTATAATTGTCTGAAGGGAAAACCGTATCTAGAGGTTTTTACATCTATACAGTACATGTCTTGTTTCCTTCTTCTGCTTTATTACAAAACATATGCACGGTATGTTGGTATCATCCACTTTTTTTTTTTAACGGACTGTCTGTGTTGTAGAGAGACGAATGGATGACGTTTGACTTCCTGGCAATGAAAACCACGTCCACAACAGAGAAGAGGGCTGAGAAAGATCGACTGAAAGGGGAGGAGAAGGCGAAGGCTCAGGCCATCGAACAGGTGTGTTTTATTTCTGAATGTTTCACGTTTAGACAACCATATGGTTCCTCTAAGTCATACGATGTCCCCTGTCAAATGATCCACATGTATCCGTGCTCAACTTGTCCTGAATGTCTCTGTGAGAGCGAGATAAAGAGCGATGTTTGTGTATGCATGAAATGAAAACACAGTGGCAGTCAGTTTCCTCCTTTTACCAACTGTGCAGTTACCAAGGTAACAAAGGGTGTCCCCTCATGGACAGAAACTGAATGTGAGTGAGTGTGTGTGTGTGTGTGTGTGAGTGTGTGTACTAATTGTTGTCTGCAGGCTGTTTTTGTCTGGATTTCTTTTTTTGAAAGTCTGTGAAATTATTCAGATGTTTTTGTGTTTCCCCTTTAGGCTGGTTTGCACAAATTAGAGCTAAACCCGTTCTGGAAAGATGGAGGAACTGGTCTGCCCCCAGCGGAGAAGGCTGCAACAAAGAAAGGTAAAACTACTACACTAAAATATAGTATTGTTGTGTTTGCCTCATTTTGTTGTGAAAAAGTTATAAGGGTCTCAGACCAGAGTTACTTCACTTATCCCTTCTAGCAAAAAACAGTCGATTCTGAAGTCCTCCTCCCAGGGTTAGCTGAGGAGATGAGGCTTTGGCCGTAACACTTTTCATACACTATTCTCCTTACCTGATTTTTTCCTCATCCCTAATTTTCTCCCGTTGACTGTCCTTTCCCCAGCTACCGATACACCAGCTTAAACAACGCTGCTTAAATAATTGAGCCACTTGACAAGTGTCTGGAGAGTGCAGGAGAAAGGAACATTCATTTTTTTAATTCAGAGATAACTTGAATACAATTATACAAGAACAAAACATTTGCTTTTCAGAGAAGAGTGAGACAACAGATATGGCAAGTAGCCTGAGTCAGGAATTTGGGGGCAAAGTGAGGCAGACACACTCATGCACACACACACACACACCACACACACACACACACACACACACACACACACACACACACACACACACACACACACACACACACACACACACACACACACACACACACACACACACACACACACACACACACACACACACACACACACACACACACGGAGAAAGGCAGACAGAGAGACAGACGTGAAGTAAGCTGACAAGCAAATGCAGGTATGTGTGCACGTGTCTCTTATCTCTACACGGGAAGTAAAGCTACTTCTAGTTGGCTCGGCCTCTGTTGTAAGTGTTTTTTTAACAGCAAGGCAAAATAAGCAGACGCAAATAGCGTACACACACACACACACATACACACACACACACACACACACTGTACACTGTACACTGTACACTGTACACACACAGGTATGTTGCAGGAGCTACAGACATGTGTTTGTTTATGTCTGTAGGTATTTGTGTGTTTTTAACATTGGTTACACTTTGTTTTGCTTTTAACAAACATTTGCTGGTTAATGATCAGGTGACATGTGGTTGGATTAGTTTTAAAAAAGGGACAATGTGCAGCTTGAAGTTGTGAAACAAGAGCCAAACTATGCAAAAGCCACGTTTCTGTTTAATGACAGAGAGGCAGAAGCCCATTTATCACAAGTTGTTACTGCTATCCTGTCCTCCTGGCAGATGGAAAAGGTTTTATTTGTGTATAGTATCTTGACATTATAAAGCTTGATTGGTTGTTTGTTGATTTCTTTAACAGTTTATCGTAGGAAGTGCAGATGATTAAGCTTTGATAACTCTCTAAAGCCAATACTCAGCTCTGACCTTGAGCTGAGGCTATGGGCAAAACATTTGTCACGTTTTATCTCTGGGAACGTATACAGAGTGTTGTAGGACATTTATTCCCATGGATTCAAATAATACATTTCTCTTTTCTTTATTTTTAAACCCTCCTTTCTCCTGACCTTCCTTTTTCCTCACTTACTCATCTCTGGTTCTTATTCATCAGCACACAATGACATTCTTTAGGGATTCTTCTTCTCTATATTATGTTCCAGCTTCTCACAACAAGCAACACTAACATATGTTATTCTAACGTTTTAATTAAGAGGTTTAAACATACCACTTTGGTGATTTGATTTCAATGTTTCTATTGTTTGAAACTATAACTGACTTGTTGGACGCTCAGAATAAGTGAATTGCCTCAAGTTGTGTATTTGAGTTTGTTCATGTTTGTGACAGTTCTCTCGTCTCGTTCCCAGGAAACACAGTGGTGAATGATGCCGGTCTGGGCTGGCTGAGGAAGAGCTTCCAAAGGATGAAGGAGCAGGCAGAGAGGCAGCAGCGCAGCCTCAATGAAATTGTGGCCGAGAGATACGGAGTAAGAGCTGATCAATATTCACTTTGCAATCAGAAACTATGAGTAAATATGCTTGTCAGTGACCTTTGTTTCCATGACTAAGATGAGGTGCCAGCAACGTCACTAAACACTTACTGTGATGATCTCAACATGCAATATCAATGACAAAAAAGACGTGACTAAATATTCTTAAAAAATTCGAAACATGGAATGTGTTTGTAGATACCTTGTTTCATTATTAATCTCTTTGCTGTCTGACTTAATGGGGCACACACTGTCCTTTTGTTAAATTACATTTAGCTGTGTCAGCATTTTTCCTCCATTTTACAGCATAGAAACTGTCACAGTCAGAACAGTGTGTGTGTGTGTGTGTGTGTGTGTGTGTGTGTGTGTGTGTGTGTGTGTGTGTGTGTGTGTGTGTGTGTGTGTGTGTGTGTGTGTGTGTGTGTGTGTGTGGTGTGTGTGTGTGTGGTGTGTGTGTGTGTGTGTGTGTGTGTGTGTGTGTGTGTGTGTGTGTGTGTGTGTGTGTGTGTGTGTGTGTGTGTGTGTGTGTGTGTGTGTGTGTGTGTGTGTTTTGTCAGAGCTAAGCCACCCACAGCAGTGCACCTCATTGAGTTTTCTCATTGAGACATCTTATAGTCTGTCATAAAATGGTTCTTTAAACTTTTATAATTAACATTTTTGTACCCATGCAGATGCTTTATTGGTATTTGTGAAGCACTTGGTTGTCTTGAAGGTGCTGTTTTCAATCGACATAATGTTAATTCTGGCAGTTCTTACACTAATCCCCTTTTTTGTTTGATTTATGTGTATCAGATGTAAATATTAACAACTTACCAATAGTTTAGTATGTGAATTTAAACGTGTGGTTTTTGTTTGCTTGTAAGGAAGCCAGCATACCCATAAAGCAGCTGTTTGTTTGGCTTACAGTAACTTAGTAGACTCCTCTTAAACTACATTGCATGTAGTTGACCACCCCAGAGGGAAGAAAACAAATGTGTTATTATATGTCATGGTAACCTGCTGAGAATGATTAAACAAGTCTACCTTAAGTCCACGGTCTGCTGCTGTCAGTTAGATATATTATTAGCTTTGTAACATTCTCTACTTGGCATTCAACAACGTGGCTCGGATGGGCATTTGTTAAGCTCTGAACTGCAACAGCTAGTATTTTAATATGTCTTTTATCTGTCCTTTACAGTCAATGGAAGAGTTTCAGCAAAAACTTGCCGATGCTGAGATAGCTGTGTACGGACACTGCAGTGGAGGAGATGGAAACAGAGGAGCGAGAGGCGGGTGGAGGAGAGGAGGAAACGAGTCCAGAGAGAGATGGAGAAGAAACGATGGAGAGGGGGAAGAGAGAGAACGCTGGAGAAGGAACGAAAGGGAAAGAGATTCATCACCGACAGATGGAGAGAGAAACAATGCTGGGAGACGAGAGGAAAGGGAGAGGGGGGGATATCGCGGCAGAGAGGAAGACAGAAGTCGAGACGGAGACAGGTTCAGAGACAGAGAGAGGGATAGAGACAGCGAGAGAGATAGAGGAAGAGAAAGGGAAAAGGGTAGGGATGGAGGAAGAGAAAGAGATAATGAGAGAGACGGAGACAGACATCAGGATAGAGATTGGGATAGGGATGGAGGAAGAGAAAGAGATACTGAGAGAGATGGAGACAGACATCAGGATAGAGATAGGGATGGAGGAAGAGAAAGAGATAATGAGAAAGACGGAGACAGACATCAGGATAGAGATAGGGATGGAGGAAGAGAAAGAGATACTGAGAGAGACGGAGACAGACATCAGGATAGAGATAGGGATGGAGGAAGAGAAAGAGATACTGAGAGAGACGGAGACAGACATCAGGATAGAGATAGGGATGGAGGAAGAGAAAGAGATACTGAGAGAGACAGAAATCAGGATAGAGATAGGGATAGTGAAAGAAATAGAGAAAGAGACAGTAGCAGCGTTTCATCATCATCATCTGGCCAAAACCCGAGTCAACCTTCTTCCTCTCTCGGGTCACTCAAAGGTCGCTTCCTCAAACCCTCAGAAGATGATGACAGTGCTGACGGTGGGTTGATATCAAGGCCTTTTCTAAAAAAATGTCTGAGTCACATTTAGCTGAAATGAGCACAGGTGTTATTGGGATGGCAACGGCTACACTGTACAGTCACAGGTTCAAATCATGCTGGTTTATCCTTGTGCTCTTTTCAAAGTCATTTTTGAAAAAAGAGCAACAACATAAGTCACATAATAACTCAAGTTCCATCACGAATGAAATGGTAACTTGGGTATCTTTTAACCTGGACCCTGTTTTCCCAGGTTCTTGTGTTTAAGTGACTCTTCTCTCCAACTCTCACTCACGTTACCACCATTTACTTACTGCAGTCACATGACACATAAACAGATGCAAAAGGTAGTAAATGTTTTATTTCTCTGTAGGCTTTCTTTTCATAATGTAAGACATCGGCAAAGAAAGCTATTTTAGTGGCATGTATTGACCGTGAGGAATGCCTATGCGATTATATTGGAACCCATTTAGCCATTCTTGCCCAATATTTGACAATTAAAAAAATGTCCCGTCACAAATACATGGAAAAATGAGCCCAGGTTTAAAATAAGTTTTAAACTAACATGCCAAGTTTCCTGTGCAGTTCCAGATCGTCGCCGTCCTCCAGCGCGGCCGTCCTCAGGATTCCTGAAACCCAGCTCTGACGATGAAGACTCTGGTCCCCGTAATGCCAGCATGCAGACCTCAAAGAAGAGCAGCAATCCTGCCAGGGAATCTGCCAGCTTTGAGAAACCACAGCAGGAGAGAGAGAGGGATCCTGGGAAAACTGTGACGGCTCCTCACGATGGTCCCACTGGCATCAAAGCTTCTGCGTCAAGGTTTGAAGCTTTTATTGTATTACTCTGTAGACATGCTTAATGATGAACAACCTTACCGTATTACAGACAAGCAGCTCTTATTACATGTAAAAGGGTTAATGCCAACATCTATGTCTTAAATCTTGTCAGTCACTTTGTGAATATTGATGTCTTGGGATGAAAAAATAAATGTTTAGTTATCAGAGACCATATAGTGCCTCCAGGGGCGTCACAGCTTCAAGAGAATAGAATCTGCCAGGACACTGATCTCTTTCTTCATTGAGTAAAATTAATAACGTTGCGTCCAGGGCTTTTAGGGTATGCCACATAGTTTGCTTGCCATTAACACAATCCTAGAAAGTTCATTCTTGGACCTACGGATCAGGTAAAGGAAGGCAGGAAGGTGCAACAACTATAGTTTAATACACTTGTTCTTAAGACTGCTGATCAACACAGAAGTCACTTCAAACTAAAATAATAATAAATCGTCTGTGAGCAGTTCCTGAAAATATACTCATTTCACAGAAGCTCACCTAGGAGTCCAACACTGTCCCAAGATATTTATAGTTTTCTAAAACTATAAATACATTTCAACAAGTGACACTGGCTCTGTTTTCAGATCTTGTTTTGCCAGCAAAGCCATGTCATCAGCATATTTAAGCAAGCTGAAATGTTGATCATACATTTGCTGTTGAAGATTGAATAGCAGTGGGGGATGAACACAGCCCTGTGGGCCGCCTGTGCTCACAGCGTCTGACATGCTCCCCCCCCCGACACAGACCGTCTGTGGGCGGCAGAGAAGAAACTCTCTGATCCAGAGAACCAACCCTGTGTTGATGTTGAGATCAATGAGACGTTTTAGGAGAATCTGTTTCTCCATTGAGATCAAACTAAGCCGAAATCCACAAATAAAGATCTCCCATATCCTTTTGGATGCTAAAGCTGTCAGTAACTGTTTTAAGCAGAGTCAGCTATCTCTGCTTCTAAAGCTTTCTGTGAATTACAGTGGACCTATCATAGCGCCACAGTGCAAGTGTTAGGCCAGAACTCCTTCCATGGTTTTACACTGACAGTATGGAGGTCGTTGTAATCCAATCATTGTCCTATTTTTGCCTGACTGAACATTTCCATGATTTTGGCACTGTGCATGTTTCTTACTGAAACAACAAAATCTTCTTTTCGTTGAGGAGCACAGTCTTTAAAAGATTGGACTTGCAACAACTTCGTCTTCATTCCCTTTTGACTGAATCTGCAGATTAAGGTTTTTTCATCGCTCCAAAGCCTGTCTTAGGTTACCAGTTATGAATTTTCACTTTCTCTTTTTTATAATTTTGCCTTAAAGATCCCCCCCCCCCTGTTTTATTTCCTTACTTATGTTTCTTTATTTATTAAATCTGTAAATGTTTGGGTTTACATTTTAAATGAATCAGTCACTGTCATAGAAGTTTTCCATTCCCCTTTCTCACATGCAACAGGATGACACCATTATGAAAGTAGTAGCATTGATATTACATACATATAGAACACTTGGCAATGGACTTTTAAGCATTGAAACATTTTTTTAAACCAAAAAAAATGAATTGGTACATAATAATCAAATAATGGGAGTATTACACATCTTTATATCTCTAAAACGCTTGGTTTATTCTCAGGCTTTAGCACATATGTTGCAATAGGAGCTTTATTTTATACACTCCTCATTCCTTGTGTAGGAAAAATGATGCATATGTAATCACTGTGTCCTTTCAGCAGCTTGTGTAGATGTTCAGTGGCGGGTTTAATTCGTAATGTGGTCAAGCTCCCCAGATACTTTCTCACTGTAATCCCTACCATAAAGCATGTGTGTGTCTTCACATATGTTCTTAATTATTTCCATGCCTTAACTGATGAAGTTCTTATCTACTTTTGAACATTAGTCTTGTGAGAAATTCCCCAGGCCTCTGAAGCCATATATTATCCACACGTTTTCTCCACTAACAGTTGTCTTTGTGTAAAGCACTAACATACAGTTGGACACACATACAGTCTTCACATAGTTCTCAGCCTGTAGTCTATTATTGCTTTAACCTAGAGTTACACCTGCAGGATAATTGTCTCATTGATGTATCTGTCTTTATTTACATCAACCATCAGTTAATTGATGAACGTTTTTCAGGCATTATAAAGCGTCAGTTATCTCCTTTCTCACACATTATTCACTATGCTAAATAATCAAAGAACTGTAACATAGTTCATTAAACCATTGAGTTATTTCTTGCTTTGAAAATTGCATATCTCTCTCGTGTGTTCTTCTGAATTTCATGTTAATATCATCCATGTTTTTATGCTTTATTTGCATCATACATGGATATTCTATCTCATTTATAAGAAAACTGAACTTTGACATCGACGAGTGGCACAGGAACTCCTTTAATGAAATGATTGCATCATATATGTTTTACCACACTTTAGTGGCAGTCATCACCATTGGAGGTAAAGAGTGGGAGCATCACTGCTTTTGAAATCTTTAGTTGTTCTGTGTTTTGCCTCATTAGGCTAAGTTGTTTGGGTAAACCAGCAGCCAGAACCCCTGCAGCATGAAATGAGTCTGCAGTGTGGCAGCAGAATGAAATGAGGCTGTGAGGAGTGTAATAGCCTAGAACGATGCTTCCCAGGATGCAGTTCAGATCCTGCCAGGCAGGGAGGTAATGATCTCTGCTGGGGGGGCACACAGACTCAAATGAATCATTACAGATAAACAGTCTAAGAGCTCTCCGGAAAACAACTAAATGGTTAAATTAAAAACCTCACAAATACGTTTCCCATTAGAGTGTTAAGGACTATTACGAGGGTGGAATAATGAAGTGATTAAATACTCTTCTTCAAAGGGGGGTGGATCTGGAGGAAAATAAATGAAGAAGTGTGGTTCTCAAATGTGGTTATGAATCTTAGCCTAACTTGACAGATGTGATTATTTATTTTCAAAGGTTTTCTTGTTGACGTATAATATTTTTTTCGCCACAAGTTGGTTGCATATCGTGTTCGGAATCAGGAAATCTTTTGTAGTCTTCACTTTGTAAAGTGCCATATCTCTTGGTTTTAGTCTCGCCTTTAAACTCTCCTCCTCATGTTTTACCTAGGAGTGACAGTGACAGTGAGGAAGAGGAGCTTCCACTGATGTCAGAGGAGGAGATGAACAAACTGGGAGCCAAACTGGTGAAGGCTGAGATTATGGGCAACACGGTGAGTATTTCATTGTTATTGTTACTGTTTGTCACTGTATTGGGTTTAATATGAGTATAAGAAAAATCAATCTAACCGGATTCAAACCCAGAGAACCAGTTTTTGAAAAATATATTTTAGGATAAGCTAAGATTGATGTGCCTCCTCCTGTTGGGAAAGTGTCCCTGAGATACAATAAGAGAGTCCTTATCCTTAATGCCCTTTTCTCCTGTTCAATGAAAACATAAATCACTTCCGTTAAATCAGAACATAAATTCCACAATTTTGTGTTCATTGAGCTTTTATTTATTGTGATGTAAGTATGATTTATCTTTTCTCTACCCATTTACTTTGAGTCTTTTATTACCGTAACCTCAACAGCTCATCAGGGACCTATAGCCTGCATTGATCTGTGCACTTAACCTTCACGTGTCTATCCTAACTGTGCAATAGGGAGCTCTTATAGAGAGTGTTACACTGCTGCCTGTTACAACACACACACACGCACACGCACACACACGCACAAAACTAAGTGTTATTAACGTAACATCCAGTATCTCCCTACACGACAAAGCAATATTCGATATTCCCAAACCACTTTGTGTGTTGGGATTGTGTGTGTGCGTGTATTAAGTGCTTTAACAGTCGTGCACTTCCCTTTTATGTCTTGTACATAAAGGTGTCGATATCTATCTATCACGGTATGGCTTAAGAGGTTCTGGATGCTTTAACCAAATGTTTTTCTTCTCTCAGTCTCATGTCGTTTTACAGCCTCAAATTGATGTATCTCACCATTGGAAAAACTGCATTATATATATTATGGATTATATACATCCATTATATCTGTATCTGTATATTTTTAAGTAACCATTTGTAATTACTGAGGGACTTTGTGTAAATGTATATTTGTTTGTTTCAGGCCATGGTTGAGAAGCTGAAGTCCCAGCTGGACGCAGCACATAAAGCTAAAGAAAGCCACGAAGCTCGAAGACAAGAAATGGCGACTTCAAAACAGGTGTGTAAATGCAACACGTGACGTAATCTCCCCCAGATTAAATAAACATTTAACTTGCACTGCAGATTTTTATATTCCCAGATGCAGAAACGTTCTAATGTAACTATATATTTACACTTACTCTGAAATCATGCCCAGATGTTAACACATGCACACACAGGAATATATAGATAGAGAGTCACATGCACAACTGTTGACCTGCCATGCACACACACACAAACATACTGAATCTCTCCCTTTCAGATTTGTCTTCTTCTTTTTCCTCTCCCATAGTCTAAATGCTAATCCAAACACTCAGGGCTATGTGTTCTCTAAAACTTCACAGACACACACACTCTCAGCATGTTGCAGGGGCATCCATCTCCCTCACTGTGCACGGAGGCAAAGTGCTTCACACACACTTGACTCCGGATGAAACTGAACCCTTCTGCTTTAACGTCTGACCGCTTTTCAAAGGAATTTGTTTGTTTGAAGTCTCTTCGGCTCTTGCGTCTTGCTGCCTGTATGGTCGCTTCTCCATTTTGGCCTTTTTAGCGGACCCTAATGGGAAACAAATGTCTTACAGCGTGATGACGACACTCTCTTACCAGGGGTCATTCAGAGTTTGGCCCCTAGTGTTTATGTGTGTGAGAGTAAAGCGAGAGAGAGACAGATTGAGTAGCAGAGATTACATGTGCCATCCTGTCTGTATTAGAGGCAATTAACAGATAGCGATGGCAGCGCCCTGACACCTCAGCACTGCTTTATCTCGGCTATTCGGCGTTGCTAAATGCTCTCTCTGAAACAAATGGCGGTCTATTTCCAACATGAACAGACTCCAGACAACTTTATAAACACATGGGAAGCAGGCTGTAATTATTTATATAACTTGTATATTATCATCTGCAAGTTCGGCCAGATTCATCCCTACTAAGGCTGTCCTGTTCAAATCAAAAGACCAAAGGTGAATTTATCATTAAGATTCCAAAAAAGATGTCATCATTTTTAGGTTTTAGTACACCCATCAGCAGAGAAGGTGGAGAACGGTTGATTTGCAGTCTTTAGAGGTCCTTTCAATCTGTCTTGTGATAGAAACATTTTGGCTTGTCTTCAGTGTTTTGAGTCATTTTTAAAACATTGCGTCGAGCCTTGAAACATCTAACTAGTGTCGACCCGTAGAGAAATATTTTCTTCTATCATTTTGTTTCTGACAGTCCACTTTCAATTTCTTGTGACTGCCTCCCATCCTCTCTGCTACTCCGCCTTCTTCGTGTTTCTCGGCTGTCCGCCTCCTACCTGTCAGGTCCAACTTTGGTCTTCATGCACTTCAGACTGCAGTTCCTCATAACAAGCAAACTTTTGGATCTTTGCTAAAGTGCTAAACTGGCTCTGAAGCAGCAGTTTGATGACATCATACCACCGACGTTTTTGAAACAGAAGGAACATTTTTGTCACAGAACATTTTGGTTTTCACAACTTTAATCCAGTTCAACATAAAAAGTATGACTATATTAAGAAAGTGGATAAAGATAAAGACAGATTAATTTAGCCCTTCTAAAATTAAAGACATTATTTTGACATGAGCCAGGTTAATTGAGGTGTAAGGCATTTATATTCTTATGTAGCACTTGTTATTATAACTGCAGCTACTTTTTCTGTCCTAAAAGCCCATCTTTTCTCCTCTTTTCTCCTCTGTTCTCCTCTTGCCAAATTAGTATTGATGAATGTTCCCTACTTCCCTTCATCAGCTATGCTTATGCTTCCAGCATGACACTGGTGATTTGGGTTCTCTAAAATACAAAGGCAGACTGACAAGTTAGTCATTTTTAAATGTCACAAGACATATTGAAACACACTTCTTCAGGTGTTTTAGATATTGCATGTCAATTGGAGTCAGTCACATTTCATTTGTATTAAACATTAGCCCAAAGCAAGATGAGATTAAAGCCGGTGCTTATTAATACAGTCATCCATGCTCAAATCTGATCAGCAAAACGCAGTGTCTCTGACCTTGAATAGGTTGCAGACATCGTTGCATTATTACATCATTAAACATTAGCTTTGAAGAATTATCCGTATCTTGACTTGACCATCTGTTCAAATGTCAAAAGGTGCATACATAAAAACATTTCAACCGTTTAGTTTAAAAACAAAACGAAAGTAAAAATGACCTGTCTGTGTGTTTTTCTTTTCAGGTCACCGGTCGCTCCAGTGAAGCCCAGGAACTCCTGCTGTTCAGAACTGACCAATCAGGGCGCGCCTGGCCCGTCAACGCCCCCTCTGGACCCCAGGAGCCCCACGGGGGACGACGGAAGAAGAAAGCGGTAAAGACAGAGGGATGATGGGTGGAAAGAAAGTAGAAAAACAGATGATGGGAGAGCAAGAAGGGAGGAAATTTATCTACAAAGGAATTCATCATGGACATTTGCTGCCCGGTCTCCTTCACTGTCTCTGTCCATTTCTTTAAAAATCTTTATGTCCAACACACATTATGAGGTTTTCCTCTTCTTATACCTCTCTCTTCTCCACCAACTGTCTCTAACTGACGCACCCTTTATTTAATGGATTGTTTCTGAATTTGATTTACAAAGATTTTAGGATTGTGTCTTTTTTTACATACAGCAGCCATTTCCCGTGGTTCGCCACCTCATCTGTACTCACCTCAGTTTTCACATTCCCCTCTTTTTCCCCCTTCTCTCTTCAGATTGAGACCCATGTTGACGGAGAGCGGGTGCGCTACTTCCAGGATGATGACAGTACGGGTCTGAAGGAGATGGTGAGGAGGGAGAAGATGAGCTCTGCGCAGGATCAGAACGCACTCTACTCTCGCATGGCTTCCAAGGTAGGAAACAATACTAATCAACTCGTGAAAAAGCAACAAATATAAAATGCCCCTGACTTTGAGTTGTTCACCTATAGAAATAACAACCTGGCATCCATGTGCTCACTTAATTCCCAGCCTTGCAACCATACAGTCTATACTTGCAACAGAATTATTTTAATTTTAAAACTGGAAACCTAAGAGCTGGTGTTATCACATCATTTTAAGCTTCAATCATGGATTCGAACACTGTGTGCACATGATGAATAACTTTTATTCAGCTAAATTAACTAAGCCACATTGCAATATTTTCTGAATTTTAAACGTATACATTACTTATAAAGTTTCACTTATAGAAAGCGGGAGATGCAACAAAGGATGGAAGGAGGAAGTTGATTTTTGACTTTAAATATAGAATTAATCAGAAAAGATGAATGACTTTTCCCCAGCAAGATTGGTCTTCATGTATTTAGAATAATTTGAGTAATTACAATCTGTCTGCAACACATTTATTGGGACAGAACCCACTGTGTCAGAGCCACTGCTAAAGGCAACGCTGCAGAGTAGAGATGAACCCGTTTCCTTGATTGATTTTAGAATAAAAAACAAGTCCTACCCAAATCTAAACACTTATGATTTTGACTCTCCTAAAAATCTCTGATATTTACTACCTAGGAATATGACACATTGAATCCACAACATATACATAAACACATGTAGCACCTGAATGTTTCCACCCTTACCAGGCCATATTTGTGTCAGCTTTCACCTAGAATTGTTTAATTCACTGCAGTGGGGATGTGTGAATCATTTATTACATTTGATTGATTAAAAGAGGCAGCCTTTTAGTATGCATTAGGAGAGCAACATTACGTTGTTGTTATCAATATTCTGGTTGCTGATTTATTTGGCATTTAAGGAAATGTCTGTTGGATAAACGTGAGAAGTGTGATTCCTGCATGTCCTCCCTTGCTCTTTAAAACACGGGTGAAAAGAGATTGCGTGTGTACATACATGTGCAAACTAAGTATAAAGAAAGGGGTTTGAAGGAGTTGCTATGGCAATGAAAAAAAAGACAAAGGCTGTGTCGGCGTTTTTCCTTTCTCCGACTTCTGCCCTCATTCAAGTGCACACACACTGCTCAATCACTTGCCCTCACTCATATATTCATTACACATGCGTATACAAATACTCACACACACGTTCTGCTCCTACAAAGAGTGACACTAAAAATACATCTACAGTTACCATGGCAGGGCTTCTATAAATACCAGTTCAATCCATTGGTCAGAAACAACGTCTGTTAGGAGACTAGCATTGTCTGGAGATTTAACAAAGTTTATCTCTTAATGAAACACGAGTAGTGTGCCAGACATATGTCAATGTCTTCCAATCTGCTGCTGCATGCTGAATTCACCATTTATAATTGAAATTGCATCAAGAATGTGTCGATCTATCAATAGTTTTGTAAAGAAAAAAACATCAGCGTGGAACCTAAAGGTAGATAAAAAATACATTTTGAATTAATCTACAGGTTAGTGTGTGAGGGTATGTGGGAATGTGGGTGTAAGAAAATATAACGGTCCTCTCGGAGAGACCCGGCACACTTAGGTGGAGTCCTTTGCGCACACTCAGCTACACACACGCACGCACGCACACACACACACACACACACACACACACACACACACACACACACAAAATCCCTCCCACACACATTCCCTCCCACATTGTCACTAAACTAATCAAATGTTCACTCTCAATCGCACACTCACTCCTACGCAGCAAGTCATGCACACACACACTTGCCATGCTTGCCTCTCGCTCTCTCGCATGCACACAGATTCAAACCTGTTGCCTGGTCGCCATGGTGACAAGACTCAGACGTAGAAACACCAGAGTCGATGCTTGGCATCCTGCCTCACACTGTTAACACACACCGGGGACCAACTTACACACAGGACAGCAAGGGCTCTCTCACACACACACACACACACACACACACACACACACACACACACACACACACACACACACACACACACACACACACACACACACACACACACACGCACATGTACAGACACACAAATGATGGCATGGAAACGGCACAGACGGCACTATTACGTCAGCACATACATACACCGATTGGTAAAGAAACCAGCCTGTTTCTGAGGACAGTCCTTATCTCTCCGATTTGCTTTTTATGACTTTTCTTTCTGAAAAATATCCATCATTTACTTTAATAAACCACATACTTAAGTGTGTTCCCTCTACAATTTTGTTGGAGAAAATACGCCATATTTGTTCAAGAATGGACACACTCCTGTTAAACTCTTCTCACCATTATGTCTCTTCTTCTCTCTTCTTCCCTGCATCTTCCTCTCTGCTCCCCTTCTCCTCTCCGTCTCCTCCGTTGTCTCGGTCCTCTCCATGGCCGCCCCTTCCACTCCCCTCTCCAGATGATGGGGAAGACAGACGGTGACAACTACACTCTGGATGACATGTTTGTGTCGAGTGCAGCACAGCGGGAGGGCGAGGGGAGGGAGGAGGAGAGGATGAGGAGCAAAGCCATCGGGGAGAGTCGGAGGCTGAATGCCTCCATGGAGAGATGCCGGCACTGCTTCAGCAGCCGAGAGCTGCAGAAGCACCTCGTCGTGGCGATAGGGAGCAAGGTGAGGGATGCTGCAGGATGTTTGTGGACTGAAGTCATTAGGCTCTTAACTGATTAGTCAGTCAACAGTTTTGGTAAAGAAAATCATTATTCAAGTCACTAGTTTATCCTGGAAAAGGGCGGCAACAGCAATATATTCAATTTCACCTAAACATGTCATTATTTGATCAATTAACCAATTGGCTATTTGCTCATAAATGACGATTTTGATAAATGTTATCATTTCCGTTAATTGTCATCTTTACCCAAAACCCCATATATATACAGGGGTGCACATAACTGGTACGCAGGTACGCATGCGCGGCAACAATCTGAAATGCGTACTGTCACTTGTGTCACAAAGCGCATTTGCGTACCGACGTACTTGTGAAGCTTTTCCAGAAGGCGGTTAGATCACCGGACGACAGAGTCGGTCTCCGTGTGCACAGACAGGGCTACTGTTAACGTCGGTCTGTACAACGGAATTGTGCCAGAAGTACTCCACTAGCGCCCCCCCCCCCCCCCCCCCCCCGTTGACGTTGGCGATACAGAGGGCTTCATCAAATAACTTTGAGTGGAGCCAGAAGTTGGAGTACCAAACACTGACTCCAGGTACTCATCTGAGTACCTCACTGAGAAAGTTATGTGCACCCCTGCACCCCTGTATATATATAAAGTTTAAAATCTTAAAATAATAAGAAAGAGGGGTTGCCAATACATATTCTGTCATTCATCAAACATATTAATGGACTAGTCATAGCACCCCCAAATTGACTGTTAAGAAAGGTAAGAAAACAAAATGAAAGATAAAACATTTACAGATAAAATATATTTTGTGTGTGTTTTCCGTCTTGTGTCCAGGTCTACCTGAGCGTGCCTGCAGGAGTGTCTATGACTGAGGGCCACTGTCACATCTGTCCCCTCCAGCATCACTGCTCTGCCACCGGATTGGACGAAGACGTCTGGTCAGAAATGCAGGTCAGCCATCACTGCTTTACGTCAAAGGGCTAAAGTTTTAATGTCCAACTTATTTGATATAATCACAATCAAATACTTCATTTTCAAATTATTTTAAACAAGAATGATTACAATTCACTGAGTACACTTCCCTGCTGCTTTGCTCTCCTCAGCTGTTCCGGCGTACTTTGGTGCGAATGTTTGAGTCCCAGGAGCTCGACTGTGTGTTCATGGAAACACACATGGACCCACGCAAAAGACAACACATGGTCTTAGAGTGTCTCCCACTTCCCAGAGAACTGGGCGATATGGCACCCATATACTTCAAGGTGTGTAGTTTCTCTCATCAATCTGAATAAGGAGAAGAGTAGGGGTAGATCTGAGTTGTGTGGTAACCCAAAAATGTCTGTGTGCCTTCAGAAAGCCATCATGGAGTGCGATGAGGAATGGGCCATGAACAAGAAGGTCGTCGACCTCTCATCGAAAGACATCCGCCATGCTGTAAGACCACTTCCTGTTTGCCTGTCTTTCTTTCTGTCTTTTAAATCCTGTGTGTCCAAATGTATTTTTTTCCCCTGGTTGTTTTCCCCTCTTTGTTAATTGTTGTTAATTGTGTAATTCCTCTTAGGTTCCTCGAGGTCTGCCCTACTTTGCTGTGGACTTTGGACTCCAGGGAGGATTTGCTCATGTCATTGAAAATGAACATAAGTTCCCCCATTACTTTGGCAAGGTCAGTGTGTGCATTAAATATAATATATCTAACGTTATCCCTAATGTGTTTTTTTTTAGATCTTGTTAGTTTTTACCTGTATATTCTCTCAGAGAAACAAGCTGAGCAAATGTCCTGAACTAAGGGTTTTACATTGTTATTGTCAATATGACCAAATCCCTATATCCCCTCACAGGAAGTGGTAGGAGGAATGATGGACTTGGAGCCGCGACGCTGGAGAAAAATGATAAGAGAGAACTTTGATGACCAGAGGAAAAAAGTCCTGGAGTTTGCAGGGTGGTGGAAACCATACGACTGCACCAAGACTGCAGAGTAGTAAACACTACACTTCCATTTAAACAAACACACACAAACACACACACACACACACACTTTGGTGCAGTAACTGTTGTACCTACCAATTTAGAATTTGATGTAAAATTCTTTTTAGGAGATATTATCTGATGACATTTTTACTTCAATAAAAAAGAATATACAACCTCCATCAGGTTATTTGTGGTTATTTTAATGTTAAATAAAAATGCCAGAAATGGTTTAATGTGCTCATATATTCAAGACCTTTGTGTGATATGTGTGTAGCTTGGGGGATTTGTGTACTAACAAATATTGTGACTTTATGGTATATGCTTTCACTTTATGCCGCACATACAGCTAGGCTGGTGGACTGTGAAACATCTATGAAGCAAGACCTGATTTGGAGCCTTGTCTGTTCACCATTTTATTTGTACACTTCTCTTGCCAGTACTGCTCTTTCCTGCTCTCGAGCCTCTGCATTTCATGTCTTACTCTATGGCCTCCTGCACCTTGCCACTGTCGCTTCTAAGAGGTTTCAGTGTCAGCACAGCCACATGTTCAAGTGTATACACGAGCAATCAGCATCCATGCCCCGGCATGCAACCTCATCTTTATTACCTCATCACTTCAGAGACCTGACTCATTTTCCGGTGCCACCTAAGACACCATGGGGCGCATTGGGGCAACTTGTAAGGGCATCATTTGTTTGAATCACAAAATATGGAGTTACTCTTAGTGTATGTGGTCACAGAGGCTCAAGATTTAGAATCAGTGTTTTTGTCAGTCTTGCATGCTCTCCAGTGTGACACTTAAAGGAGAGAGTGTATTCCTGTTTATTAATCACTCTTATCAAAAACCTAACTGAATGACTATCTCTGAGAGTATAAATAGGACAAATTATGCTAATGTCCAGGTTCATGTTTGTATTTTGTGCTTCTACGATAGTGTCTCTGCTGGGCCGTCAATGGACTGTGTACTATATGTTGTTTATATGAACATCAGAGGGCAACTTCCATCATAAGTCAGCATTCACAGCTTGAATATGATGTCATCTGAAAAAAGGAAAATCCCACCAACAAAAGGTGTTTGCAGAAATCCTATCATATTGTCATTTTTAGGAAATTCAGCTTGATCTGTAATGCAGTCTTTACTGTAACACTAAAACATAAATGTTGTGCTTATGCTATTTTTTTTTAAAACTGATTTGTAAATGTTGAATCCCTTGGGATGGTAAAGCAGGTTATTTATATTGCACAAGTGACAGAGAGGCCCAGGTTCATGGGTAATAGCAGCAGAGTGGCGTGGAGTGATTTATGGTTATGGCCAATTACACTGGCTGGGGGCAGATTTATGACCAAGACAGACATTTCTCTCTCGCTGTGTCTCACTCTCACACTCTCACACACACACACACACCTTCTGTAGTTTTTATTTATTCCCTCATTTGCTTGCTTCTTATCAGGTTTTCTATTTTATTTCCTTTTATGATTCTTTCCCGTTCGCTTTTTTCATTTAGATAGTCAATCTGCTTAACATATTTGAAAGACATTTCTAACACAAACACACACATAAAAGCTACATATCTAAAAGCCATAGAGAGTGCTATGTATCATTTAAATTCTAAAGGTGTGGGTGTCTCTGAATTTACAATTGAGTTTTATGCTCGAGTGTGTCTGGATGAGTGTCTGCGTATCTCTGGGGAAAACCTGTTTTTGACTCACCGGGGTGTGTGTGTGTGTGTGTGTGTGTCAGCGGGATGAACCTCTTATCTTTCTGCATTCCACAACTTCACGTCTTCTCAGAATCTTTTCTCTGAAAATGTGTTTCGGCTCCTGGAATGTTTTGCTTATTTGTTGATTCTTCCACTTTTTTCAAGGATTTATTTGAAACATCTGTGCCCTATGTGCATGTTAATGTATAAATGTGTGTCTCTTCTCATGGGTATAGATTGTATTTTTTACTGCAATACTGTCAAATGTATTGCTTTTTATTTTAAACGTAGTTTCTACTCATAAAACAGCTTGATTATTGGCACTTTGACAGTCTGCACAAAATGCAACGTTACTGCATTACAGATACATTCATGATTAAATGACTGACTATCATCATTAGGAAATGTTATTCATGGTATTTATTATACCATAAACATAAGCATAAATGAACAATATAAACTTTATTTGGTAAGCAGATTGCAAAAAGACTGTTAGATGTTTGACAGATCAAGATACATTTGAACATGAGCAAAACAGGGTAATAAGACAGGTATAAGAAAAGAGAGGAATACAAATCTAGACATTTTACTGACAAGCCTTTTAAAGTGAGTTTTAAAAAGAGTGTGTGTTTCTTCAATCCAGTTGGACTGCTCCATACCTCATTTCCATGATAATGTTATTAAAATGTGGTGTCATCCATGTTAAATGTACCTATTTAATGAGATGACCATGATACCCCCTGTGGTGCCCTTTATATTGGTTCTAATTTCATGTCTGCACAGAGTGAGAGCTGATGCCCTGTCTGCACCCAGCTGCAGATGTCTGGCTGCTAGCGGCCTTATCTTCTCTGGAACAGTATTTTATTCCATTGCGGTGTTCGCTTTATTAAATGCCCACAATATTACTGATGGATGACAGACTGATTGCGAAGAGCAAGCGACCAGATAAGGAAAGAAAAGGAGAGACGGACACTGTGTGTTGGTGTGTGTGTGTGTGGTGTGCTATGTGTGATATAAAGGGAATGTGTGGGTGTGTTTTAGAGAGACAGAAGGAGCTACATTCTATCCAATGTATTGGGGTCATGCTGCTCCAGAAAGTCAAATGAATTAGGAGGCACCTCCAGGAAATTACACTGCGGTGTGTGTGTGTGTATGTGGTGCACTTGCATGATGCATCACGTCTATTTCAGTGTCTCTCTCTCTCTGCGTGTCCCTTTGGGGCCCTCAATGAACAGACATGCTCTGCCAATCAAGGTCAAGGTCATGGCTGTGATTAGTTCCAGACATGAGCATAATTCTGTCCTCTGACAGCAGACAACAGGCGTGTGCCACTGCTGCCATCTCCATTATCTGCATGGTGAGCCATATTTGTCGTTTAATATGTTGAACACATTTGGCAGATTGCCATTAATCTGTCTCATTGGCCATGCCTGTTGTTTGATTCAAATAAGGTGTTGCTTGATTTCCATTTCCAGTTTCCACCGGCCATGTCAACATGATAGGTAAATAACAATATGGAATATTGTTCAGACTTTATATATATGTTTTATATTCACCTTTTGAAACAAACCTGATGTATCCCCACAGACATGGCGGGATTAACATGTCGGTTAGCCCCAGGGCAAATATTTGCTGTTGGGCCCCTATATTGACCCTGTGTTACCTTCACCTGCTACCTTTCTGCATTATAAATACCCATTAGGTAAAGTGCACACAGCAGACTACACATGGCAGTTGCATTAAACTCAGAGACCTACCCTTCTATGCTGGAATAAGAATTTTAAACGAAAAGATCCATCAAAAAGGTTAACTTGACTTTTATCCTTATCGTTTGACCTATGATACTGTGTTGACAGCTGATGGGGTTACCTCTAAAGTGAATTCTAGACCATGAAAACAGTCTTAATATGACGGAGTATAATTGCCTGGCTCCAGGTTTTCTGTGAGTGACTTTGTTCGTGGTAACCTGTCTTTTTTATGTTTATTTCTTTTTTTATATTTGGGAATATGGAACATGTGTGCACAATACAACTTGAAATATAAAATACTTAGAGGTAAGATCTTGACACTGTCATGCAGTGAATGTGGGACATTAACCTGTTTTTTCAGCTTGGTATACACATTTTTCTCTAAAAAGCGTTTAAACTGAATTAAGCATTTGGTGCATTAGAAGAAGACATTTTAATCAGACAAAAACATTGAAAAGAAATGAGTGATTAGCAAGATACAATAGTAAGAGTTGCAAAATGTTACAGACACTGAGGTTGTGTTCCATGTGTTGACTTGTGGATAATTCCCCCAATTTAAGAAATGAATGCTTACCAACTTTAGATGTGATCTGCTCACCCATCTTTCTGTCTATCTGTCGTGTGTCTTTCTGCATATCTCCTCTGATTGGTTGCGGTTTGTTGAACTAAAACTCTCTGATTTGTGCTTCACATCTCTGATCTCCTCACAACATCACCGGTGCGTGCTGCTGCTGGCTGACCGCGCGCGCTCTCTCGCTCTCACCGTGTCCCTCGCGCACCTCCACTCCAGCCGACGACAGAAAGAGACAAGACGAAGCAAATACCAAGAGCAGCAGGAAAGGAATATTATTAGTGAAAGATGGATGAATGATGAGAGGACGGTTAGCAGACGGACAGGAGAACCGCTGTCGCAGAGGACAAGAAGAAGAGGGAGGATGAGAGAGGGAAACAGTCTGCTGTGACTTTGGAGATATCTCTCAGGCAAAGTGAGGGAGAAAAAGGCAAGACGCCACACTCTGAGGATGCCAACAATTCACCGTGTGTGAGAGGAATAATTATCATGTGTCGGAATTATTGTGGTGGACCAACATGTCGATTTTGGCAACCTTTTGTCGCGCAGCAGCGTTTCACTGTGCGTAAGACGGCTAAACACGCATTTTAGAAATACAAAATTGCTGCTAGGGGTATATTTTTTGAAGCATCATTTGTGCTTGGCTTTCCTAAGGAGATTTGTTTTGGGGGTAAAGGAGGACGTGTTTTTTATAAAGAGGCGACCCCCCTCCTCCTCCCCCTTACATAAATGTTTGCGTGCCGTTAGTGCTCTCGTTCTCTGTCGACCCCCCTCTCCCTCTCCCTCTCCTCTGAATAGGTTTGCTGAGTCCCACACGCAGACAGTCGCATCTCATATGCACACAGACCTGGACATTATCTCACACGCACGCAAACACACATATGCATACATTATTATACAGACAGACCTCACCCCCCTCACCCACCCGACCCTCTCACTCACCACTATCTGATGACTCCCCGGCGTAGAGGTGGACGTGGTACGGAACCGACTGTAGCATCATCATCATCCTTAACACTACCACTGTCATCCTCACCATCCTCCTCTTCCTCACTACCACCATGTCTTCGTCGTCGCGCAAGATCTCCTCGGAGTCGTTCAGCAGCTCGGTGGGCTCAGACTGCGGGCTGGAAAGCCCCGGGGGAGACGCGGGGGATGGAGGTTTGGAGCCGGCGGAGGAGATCCGAGGTTGCCCCTTCTCCTCTCTACACTCTTCCCACAGAGCGGTGCTCTGGAACGGCCGCAGCCCCGCTGAGAGGCCGGCGTGTCCGGTGGTAGAGGAGCAGCCAGGACCCGGGGCCCCCCACAAGAGGGTGACCAGGAGAAGACGGGTGAACCTGGACTCGCTGGGGGAGATCCTGAGGAGACTGACCTCACCCACGGTAGGCCTCCTGCTCAGTCTAAACACTGTACCTCCATGACATATCATTACATATTCCAAACGTGAAGTGCCATACTCATAAAGGCATCCTGCATAACCACTGGGGTCCTTTGACGAAATCTCTAGTTTTACCATACAATTTGTAGAGCACTCTTCATTAATCTTTTAAAAATGTATTGCACAATAAGATGTTATGAAGCAAATCAATGACCTGGTCTTCAGAGGACACAATTTTGATAGTGTAGTTTTTGTATGACATCAATCTGCTCATGTTGTCAGTGTTTAAATCAGAACTTTAATCAATTGTGTAGATTCATTTGTTATGAGAAAGTCAATATGATGAACAAACAGAGATATTTTATCCTGCACAGCTGTCTCCAAAGTTGAGTAGGTACACAGCCTTTATTACCAGGAAAAGACATAATTCAAGCTTTTCCACCCTGTGATTATCCACAATCCCAGACAATGTCTTTTTTTCAATCAAATCTGACGTGTGCTGTGCTGTCTATGAACAAAAAAAATCCTCTTTTCATCCATCCTTCTGAAAGCCTGAATCATCTGGCAGATTATATAATAAATATGTTGTTGTGAGGGAGAGAGAGAGAGATGCCCATGCTCTGTCTGTATATGTAATGATGGGAGGAGTGTGACAAGTGAGCCAGTTTGTGTCTCCGTTGTATTACAGGCTGTAATGTAATAAAGAAGCTACTAGAATTGAGCACAATGGACGACGTGTGATTAGGGCATTTGCTATAGCTTAGTCAGTCATTTTGGGATTTAATTGCATGTCTGGTAATGTTGGACCCTGTCATAGTTGGTCAAATTCAAGTATTAACAAACAAATGTTAATCTGCATCAGGAAATGCTTCGGTGGCTTCAACTACAAAAGTCAAATGTATAGGTGATGTAATGTACATTGATTGACAAAGCAAACTTATTATTTCCAACCCTGGCATTATCTGAGTCCTTTATAGTACGAACTATACTCAGGATGTGACAGGACATGATAATATGACCCAGTTTAGATTGAACGGTGACATGAGACTTGCAGTGTAACAGGAGTTTTAGATGAGTGTTGGATCTTATTCTCAGGGATTTAGCAAACAGTAAATTGATAAAGATAGAAAGCATTTCTAATTTTTTCTAATCTGGCAGTTTTGAGCTAACATGGTCTCAAGGTTTATTTATGTTGGTTCCCCGCATAATGAGGAGACTGCTGTGTTTTGCTCAAAACTACAGGAGGCTTTGGGAATATGCGTTTGCTCAGACTCTGTGGTCCCATCCCTGGGAGAAATACTGTAAATGTGGCAACGAAGTCTTTAAAGTAGAGCAGTGATTGTCCGCCTTTTTTTTGCCGCCAAGGCACAACTTCACAAAAATATTTACATTCAATAGCACAGCTACAAATCTGAAGTTGGTGTATATTGGAGAGGACCACTAAGGGCCAACTTCAGCTCTCAGTTGTGCTTTTGTCACAGGGAAAGTGTAAATGACCAGGGTCTTTTTTCAGTGTTTAAAGGTTGTGTGTGTGTGTGTGTGTGTGTGTGTGTGTGTGTGTGTGTGTGTGTGTGTGTGTGTGTGTGTGTGTGTGTGTGTGTGTGTGTGTGTGTGTGTGTGTGTGTGTGTGTGTGTGTGTGTGTGTGTGTGTGTGTGTGTGTGTTTGTGTGTTTGTGCATTTGTGTGACTGTAAGAGCAGCTTACAACTCCCTACATCAGTTTTCTCCTAAAGCATCTTAATGTTTATCCACTTTTGCATTGTATTATGGCACCATAAAAGAAACAAACATATATATCCGCTCTCTCACAGCACAACACACTGTTTATTAGCTTTTGTGTTCTCTCTCCCACACACATACACAAACACAGCCCTCTCACACACACAGTGGCTGCGTGCAGTGGCAGTGTCTGTTGTTGACGGCAATGGACCGTGACAGAGAGAACAGAGCAAGCTCTCTGTGGTTGTCTTCACCCTGACCACACTGACCCAGAAGCAAGAACACACACACAAACACTAACACACACAAACAAATTTACATTTACATTTGGGCAAACATTCATTTTCTGTCTCTCTCCCACTCCCTCTCTCAGTTTCGTGTATACACATGGAAGGTGGCCATTAGCTTAGTGACCCATGATGCCGATCAAAGGCCGAGTGTTGGCCACAAATATGAAGTGTGTGAGACAAGTGTGTGAGTGTGCATATGTGTGTCTTCTGGTAGGTCCACATCCCGATTATGTGGTCACATACTCACTATCAGAGACAAGTTTTTCTTTTTGCGCTTTCTATGATTTCACCTGTTGAATAATATTTAAAAATCCACAAAACACAGGTTTATCTCTGTTATATATTCAGTGAAATTATAGGGTTGGGGGAAAAATTGACTCATGGAAGAATCAAGATTTTTATCTTACATAAAACTAATGTTCAAAATCTATTCACAGACATCGCTCAATAGTTTTTTGTTTAAAGGAAGATAGAAACTGCTTCCGATGGATAATAATTCTCAAAGTCAAATTATTTGCTAGCATTTTTCTATTTTGCAAGTTTCTGAGAAACAAAATGGCAGCTGGCCTTACTTGTCAATTTCATGTATGTACCAGTCAGAATTGAAAAAAAGAAAATTAAGAAAAAAATGTTTTTCACAAGTAAATCAAATGGATTTGTTATTAAACTGTTTCAATCTTTTCGTATTTCCTCCTATATTGGACAATTTCAATTCATGTTCCAAAAAGCATACAAATATAAAGGAAAAAGCCACAAAAATGTGTCCTAGCAGCAACCAATTTGTAAAACACGATTCCACCTTTATAATAACATAGCACACAAAAATGTTTAGATCATGCATCTGTTTCAGCAGACACTTTTGTCAAGTGATTTAAAGTGGACCTATCATGCTATATTATAATAATATAGTGTAGGACCATACCTATATAAGGCATATTTATACTTTTTTTTTTTCAAAATACCAAACAGATCATGCATTTTAGCCATGCCTCATTTCGCTCAATTTGACAATTTATAGCTCTGTTTTTGCAAGGGCTGATTCTGTGAGCAACAGCACCATCTAGAGGCCTGGCATATGTACTACAGCGTCTCCAGCGCTTTTGAACGGCAATGCCGTGGTTGTCTCCTCCTGATTGGTGGAGTTGGCCCAATAGCCGTAGCGCCACTTTCCTGACGTCAGGAAAGTGTTCAAATCTGGATCAGTTTTTATCAGATCCGTTGCAGCCCCTTTTTTAGAGATTTGGGTATGGAGGAAAATAGAGAAGGTTGTGTTTTCTGACACTTGGTGAGTTCCCTGGAACACCAGGGACACATATTCATGTATAAAAGACGTGCATTTTGCATGATAGGTCCCCTTTAAAGTAAATGGATTTAACCTTTTCTCAGGCAAAGTGAGGGAGAAAACTGAATTAAGCATTTGGTCCAATCCTTAAAATTAAGGTATTGAATATTTTGCATATTCAGACCCAAATATTCACCCCTGCCATGCCCATGCCCTGGCTGTGTTACTGCTAACACTGCATTGCTTCACTGTTACATTATAGCTGAACTATTCTTAGGGACAGCCTGAAGAATCCTAATAGAAAGCAGATTGCTACAGAATTGTTTTTTTTGTACCTGCTTTATTACTTTCCACAGAGAGGCCTGATGCGTCTCATGCTGGGATTTATCTTGCGGGACTCATCTGGTTTATGAGTTTCTATTTTCTTTAGTAGTGGTGGCAGCTCTCCAACTGTGCTGAAGCACCAGTACCCACTGTGCTGTGACTGTAGACCACACCAGTTCATGTAAATGTAAATTTGGAGGAGGAAGATGCAATAAAAGGAGGGAAAGGATGAATCACGTGGACAGAGAGGAAGAGCAGGTTCACAGACAGTAGAGAAGAGCATGATAGCTGGGAAAGCAAGTAATGCAGAGCAACAGAGCAAGAGGAATGGAGTGGGAATTGGTGAGATTCTGCTTCCCTCCCTAGGTAAAGAAACTGAGCAAACAAAAGAGACGGAGTGGCTTGGATAAAGACCACAGGGAACGAGAGAAAGAGAGGGGAGAGTGTCTTAAGAGAGACAGAACGTTTGAGTTCAAACCCTAAACCTGTAATTTAGTTGGACATTATTTCATCTTCATGGAGCATTTCGATTTCCCTTTCTTCATTTTGCATGCCTCTTCTCTTGGTTACACACGGTCAACATTCAAATTCTTTATGGTCATTTGCAAAATATATACGGCGTATTTGTTTCCAATGCAAACCATGTACACGTAGAATAAAATATGATAAAACAGAACGTTAATGATATACTGTACAGAGGGACACCACCATAATTACATAATTATATTGAATATATATATTTATTCAGTGACATCAATACGTTTAATTTACAGGGGCCCTATTATGCTTTTGGGGATTACCCTTTCTCTTGTGTGTGTTACAAAGGTGTTTTTGCTTGTAAATGGTCCGCAAATGCTAAAATCCCAAAGTTCCGCTCTCCCACACACTCCCCCTCTTCCTGAATCGCCTTAATTGGACCCCTTTTTTCCGGTACATAGTGATATCTCTTTATAACACTTGCGTTTCTATTGGCTAGCGCTCCAACACATTGTTTGCTAAGGGGTGGGACATGCAGTTGACCAATCACCACAGACCACAGAGCAGACTGGGCTCTGGCTTCAGACAGAGGGTGAAAAGAGGGGCTGCAGCAAAGGCAGTATAAGGAAAAATGAAGCACTTTTTGAACATCAAAGCGTGTAATCTTGTCACAGAAGAACAAAATACAATTGTGAAACCTGAAAATGAGCACAATAGGGCCCCTTTAATACCATGTTTCTGTTGTACCATTTTATGTTTATATTGTCCTTTTCAAATCCTCCCAGTGTAGTGTGTGTTTTTAACAATCCATCCTAAGAACAAGGCAATCTGCTAGGTGTTAGCTCTCAAAGCAGTTGTGTGTGTGGCTGAGTGAGATCAATGTGTGATGGGGTATCGAGTTGTGTGTACAGTAAACATGCCAGCGATTGCAACAATGCCGACTAATGATGATGCATGTGTACAGTATGTTTGCACATGCATGGCTGATAACAGGTAGTGCCTGTGTGTTCGGTCATATTGGAATAGTGTGTGCACACCCTGTAATGTGCATGTTCTGTGGTAAATGAGTAGCTGAATCAAGGACGCAATAGGAGGAGATTATCATGAGAAACACTGTTTCTGGTTTACACGTGCACACAGCGTGTAGGTGGGGGATGGGGGTGATGTGGGGTTTTTCCTCATAAATACAAAGACTGTGAAAATAGTTCATCTTTCTCCTGCTGTTGCTGGGTTTACGACGACTGTAGCTAAAAGTGAAAATATTTTTGTATCATAAGACGTGGCTCTGACTGCAACATGATTCTCCGTTGTTAGTGCTGTTGAGGATATGGATATAAATACAGTGTAAAGAAAAATGAGTCAGCACTGAGAGAAGAGAAGCTCCAAACATTTGCAATACCATTGGTTAGCTACAATATGACGTCTATTTGTTATGTAACCTGATGGTGAAAAAAACTACTTTATATTCACCTTTTGAAACACCTGCTGACTGACGCACATATTGCACACACACTCCTCTTTCTCCTTCATTTTGCACATGCCTAATGTTTTTGCGTATGTGTGCGTATGTGTGTGTGTGTGTGTGTGTGTGTGTGTCTCTCTCTGTCTCCCTATCCCTGTCTGTCCTCTACACACACATACTCACACAAAATCTGTATCAGTCCGTAGTGGGCGGAGGCCTCAGAACGACCTCTCCAGCTGGCACACTGTGTTCCAGTATTGTCACTATAGCCTTGCATTTAAAGCCGTATCACAGATTATCACATTTGACCCGCCTCTCCGAGTTTAGGCTGTCAGTACCGCAAACTGCGCCATCTTCAGACACACACACACACACACGCGCACACACACACACACACACACACACACACACGCGCACGCACACACACACACACACACACACACACACACACACACACACACACACACACACACACACACACACACACACACACACACACACACACACACACACACACACACACACACACACAAATTAGGATCTGTTTTGATGGGAGAAATTGATATTTTTCACTCGATGATTAGCAGAACTCAGCAGTCTTATGTTTACAATTGTAAAATGTCTTCTATGACACCAAAAACATCAAATGAAAGTAATCGCAGATCGATAAATGGTTAATTTGTTGTTTTTTCTAAACTTTTAGTTTCCACAAGACATAGTCTTACAGAAATACCTTTTTCAGAGCAGATATCTTGTCACAGTAAAGCCAGGATTTACTAATAAAATGAACACTGCCTTTTCTCTATTCAGGTGTCCTAGTAAACCATGACAGTCGAACAGCATGCACATTATTAGAATCCTGAAACTGTAGCAGCTACATATTATCATTAACTTGATTATTTGTTCTTTCTGCTATGACATTAAAACAATTTTTCTCTCAAGATGGTAATTCTGGTCTGCTCATACGGTCTGGGTGTGCATGGAGTCAGGAATCAATAATAATTGCAACTACAATATTGTTGCCTAAATGCACTCACAAATACCCATATTCTCGTCTCATATCCTCACTTCTTCTTGCAGACACAGACTGTTCAGGAGGCTCTCCAGCGAACTCTACATTTCTACAGACAACAAGAAATCCGGTAAGGCTCTCCTCGCTTGCTGTCAGTCTCTCTTCCTGGTTTTCTAACTAACTCCCCCTCCTCAACCCATCAATCTTCAGTAGACACTCTCAGTCTACCTGCTGCCTGTTCTTGTGTCCTGAGAATACATTTTTTCCCTCCTTTGCCCTTACTTTTCTGCTTCTGCTTGTCTTTCTGTCACACAACTGTTCAGTTACTGTGAACAAAATCAACCCATAAGCAAATCATATCTCTTCTGTTGGAAAGAACATATAGTAACGGCGCAAAGGTTAGAAATGATGTGTGTGACTAGAGCAGGGGTGTCAAACTCAAGGCCCGGGGGCCAAATCAGGCCTGTGACTTCATTTTATGTGGCCCCACAAGAGCTCTGAAATAATATATGTTTATTATACATGCCGATTTACAGAAGCACGTTGCCCATAAACTACATGTCCGACAATGCATCTACATTTTTACTCAGAATTTGGCTTGTTTCTCAGAATTTGACTCTTTTTCATCAAAATTTTACTTTTTTCTTCAAAATATTACTTTTCTTTTTAAGTTTTACTTTTTTTTCAAAATGTTACTTTATCTCCCCAAACTTTACTTTTTTCTTCAAAAAAATTCTTTTTAAATCATTTTGTGACATTCTCACTGAAGAGACTTGCAATTATTTGCCCTATACTTCTGCTTTCAGACGTAGTTAATTATAAAGTTATTACCCTCCGATAATAATCCAATATTATTTTATATATATTACATATTTATATATGTATTTTTATATAGTCTTATATATAAAACTGGCCCTTTGAGTGCAACCATGATGCTAATGTAGCCCAAGATCAAATTGAGTTTGACACCCCTGGACTAGAGGGTCTCTGGTCTAATTCCCAGACTGAGACAAATCTGTGTGGGAAGTACAGAGCATCACTTCCTCTCTTATTACTTCTGTGGGGGTGACCTTGAGCTAATTTCCCTGTCCAGCTTTTTCTATGGATCTGCTCAACGACAAACACATTTGAACCTACACAGGCTAATTCAAGTGTCAGATTACCCAAATCATAATAATGTATACATTATATTTCACATAACCATAATGGTATCTATCCATGAGTTTTCCCACCACCCTCACCAAATGGATTTTATTTCAAATGTGTATTTTGTTTGAAAAGCTCCCTGTACAGGTACATGGCTTTAGAAATGTTCAGCTGCAATTATAGAAAAAAGCTCAAGTCATGTTAACCTTTCAGAATAACCCAGACATGTCAAGAGTTGGTTTTACTGAAAAAATAAACCTAAAGAACTGGTGACAGCACAGTTTGTGGTAAATTAAATTAAAGTGGTAAACAATCCAATGGCTTCTGGTACAAAAACACACAAAAGAGCGTCCCTGATGGATGTTTATTAGCTTCTCATTACTGTATTAAACCTTATATTTGGTGATCTCATGGCTAATACCCTCAGGGTGGTTTTTTTGGTCTTTGACAGGTGTCAGGAAGTTGGCAGTGAGGAGAGACGGAAAGAGAGGAGAGATGAGAAGTGCCCATTCTTAGAAAATTCAGGTTCGGAAGAAGATGTCCTACAAATCCTGCAGTACATGGCCACCATACTGGGTAAGTAGTGCAATAGAGGCACATGTGGATGTCTTATTGTGAGCTTGACATTGAGACTTAATGCATGTGTGTGTGTTTGGCATCCTCTGCAAATAAGTAGATTTGGTAATGAGTGTGTGTACATATTTAGTATATAGTTTTCATCTCTTTGTAACTGTGTTCTTTTTAGTTGTGTTGCTTTGGATGGATTTTACTGTGTTATATTTATCACATGCCAAGACACATAGACAATGCTTCCTTTCTTTCCCCCCATGCATATCCTTCAGTATTAGTATGGTGTTTGTGATGGGGTGGGGGGGGGGTTGCACACCTACACAATTAAACAGAGCCATCCCCAAAAGGCACAACCTCTAAAACACACAGTAGACCTTTTAAATGAAATAGGGAAATATCTACAGTATCCTGGCCAAGGCAGTGCGCATGCAGACACAAATACACAGCTATTTACATAATGCAAAAACACACACACTGTGTGACTCACTGTAAAGGCTTACACAGTCTCTAAGGCCTCCCATGAAAAAAAACAAAAAAACACACACACACACACACACACACACACACACACACACACACACACACACACACACACACACACACACACACACACACACACACACACACACACACACACACACACACACACACACACACATTGTCCTGCTGAGTCACTCAGTACATTTCTGTCCTCCTTCTCTATTCTCCCTGGCTCTTATCTACAGTATTTACCTCCTTCTAGTCCTCCAAACTCCATCTCTGTCCCCATATTGCAGAGTTGCCACCACTGTGTGCATTAACTATACACTACTGTTTGTTAATATCTCTGTCCTTGAGTCATCTTCTTATCTGTCTTTATCCGTCTCTTTTGTCAGCTCTCCGCCATGCTTGCAGTCTATGTGTAGTTATAGCACCTGTTTGGCTGCAACTTGGTACACAATGTTTATCTGATACAGCCCTCCATGTGCGTTAGATCAGTCCTCACTATTTGCAGTTTATCTATTTATCAATCCATGTTATGCCGCTTATCTGAATGTGAGTCATGGGGGCAGAAGGCTAAGCAAGAAGTCCAGAAATACAGTATTTCTCTCCGGTCTTCCGTCTCTTCCCCTGGGATCCTGAGGTGTTCCCTGGCTAGATGCAATATCTAATCCCTGCAGAATCTTATCGATCTGCCGGGGCTTGCCCTCCCACTTTGATGTGCCTGAAATACATCCACATGGAGGCGTGAAAGGAGGCCTCGCTGCCAATAATGCCGTCTGTGCCCAAACCGCCTCATCTGACTCTGAGAATTAGCTTTTTCTCCTAAAGGTTGAGTCATAGCAGGCACAGACAAATTCTTAAATTCCCGTTTGACCTCTACACACTGTATCATGATAAACTGATCTGATTTCATGAGTTCAGTTTTTTTATTTGACATTACACATAATGTGTCTTTTAGCTGGTGAAGTGACATTTTAGAGGAGCAGTGAGCTTTTTACAGGGTTTGGCCCTTTGGTCACTGCGACACTAACTAATCACATTAACACACATGTAGATTTGTGTATGTCAAAGTCATTTTTGATGTGTTTAAGATGTACATTTTACCATAAATGATCTGATAATTAGAGAGGTGTTTTTCACAACATTTAACAAATGTTGTCTTCAGTATCATTGTCACTCCTTTGCAGTTATTTTTTTACAAGCCTATATAGTTGTTCCCTTTTATGTCCTTATTCATTATTTCTTTGAATGAAGTAAACCATTTTTAGCACATTTTGGGATTTTTATATTTGTGATATCAGATTTTTTTAATTCCAAATGTCAATTTTAATTTAGCTTTAATCCTTTAATCCTATTTCTTTCTCATTACTCAGTTAGTAGGCATGTGACATGATTATTTTATCTTATTAATATTCATTATTTTAGCAACGCTTTGATGTTTGTTTACTCTGAACACTGTTCTGTGTTTGATAAGCTCACAATTAATATGCTGAATTTAAATATTTGTCAAAACACATAATTGAGCACAGGCAGCTCTTACTCAAAACTATTATACACACTCAGTGGAGTTGTGTGTGTATTCTGTATTATTTGTGGATAGTTTGTCTGTGTATTCTGTATCGCTGACATTGTGTTTTCCTGCTGTCGCAGGCATACCATTCTGTGAGCTGCGAGAGCATTTCGGAGAGGAGTTCTTTGGCCTCTGCTTTGAAGAAAATGAACGAGTGCTTCGGGCTGTAGGCGGCAACCTCCAGGACTTCTTCAACGGCTTTGATGCCATCTTGGAACACATCCGCACCTCCACGGGTCGCCGGGCCTCATCTGAGAGCCCTTCTTTCCAGTGCAAGGACCCCTATGAGGAGGAGACAGGGAGAAGACATTTGGACAAAGTTGGAGAGCGAGGAGAAACAGATGGAAGAGGGAAGGAGTTGCTTCTTCACTGTTTCAACCCGGGCCCTGTGGTTGGATTGGTCATGCCAGGGTTAATCAGAGCTGTTGCCAGGCGGATCTTTTATTCAGAAGTTGAGGTGGAAGAGGTGCCTCCACTAACTCCCTTATTGCCCAATGAAGATACAGAACACACAGACGATGACTCCACAACCCCAACCCCAACCCCGACTGTGTCCCCCACCGCCTCACCCTCGTCGTCCCCGTCCCCGTCCCCTCCCTCTCCTTTCCAAACCTCTGTTCCCACAGTTTGCTTGTCCTTCCAAATCCAGGAGACAAGCCCTCCTTCCCTCCCCTCCCTCCCAAATTCTGCGCCGGTGTGCACTAAACGCCCCCTCCTCCCACTCTCCACCAACCCCAGCGATCTGCGCATTGGCCTGGCCACGTTTTGCCGTGCCTTTCCGTTTCACCTCGTCCTGGGGCCTCGCATGGAGCTACTGCAGCTCGGAGAAGGACTGAGGAAACAGGCTCGCATTGAGCCGCACCGGTGCCACGCGTTCAGGGACTGTTTTGAGATTGTCTCACCCAAGATGGAGCCTTCGTTCAAGGGCATCCTGCTGAGGCTTGCATCCCCGTTTACCATCCGCACCAGGCCTGACATCACACAGTCTGGCACCAAGGAGAAGGTAATAATATCATATATAACAGATGACACTTTTACTCAAATCCTACTTTCTAACAACATATTCTAGAGGATTATTGCAATTTTAGTTAGTTGGTGACTTCATTTTTGTTTCCCAATGTAAATGTTAAGGCTGTTGGTATGTTGTTTTATATTTATCCAACAAACCTAACTCTATCACAGTCAAGTACAGAACTTTTTGTACTGTGAAATATGTAAAAGAATCAACATCTCTCTAAGACTTTACATTGTTTGTTTTGAAACAGGTGGAGCACAAGAAGGCCACACTTTCCTTTCATTTCCAGTTTGTTATATAATGTTTCTATCAGATTCAAGACAGAGTGTCTGGGTTTGGCTTAGTTACAAATATAATTTATTTGCTAGTTCTTGGTAAAAACAAAAAAAACAAAAAAAGATAATTAGACTGTTGATGAAATTGTGTCCATACTGACTGTCTTTACTTGTCATTCCAACACATGCAGCACCACACCACGGCCTTGGATGTTTTTGCATTGCAGGAATGAGTTTGAATGAGTTTGAATTTGCCAGACACAATCAATCAATCAGTGTTGAATGCTATATCTAGTTCTTTATTAGTTGGATGGTCCCCGCAGGCTGCCAGTGTCAGTCCCAAACACCCCGATGCTAAATAGAATTGACAAGGCGAAGAAGGGTTCAGCCACAGTGCGGTGATGTGTGTTTGTTTGCTTGTTTATAAATGGGTAGGGACAGCGTACGGATGGTTCAGGTGAAATGGTGTTTTTATATTGCAGAACCACTAGCATTTATTCAAATGGAAATGCTAGTGGGTGTTGAGCTGTTGAGTGTTCATGTCTAGTAGAATCTGCTACACACTCTCCCCAGAACAAACGAACGAACAAAGCAAACAATCAATATATTAAAAGTCAGTTTATCGATATTTTTGAAGGGCATGTTTTGTTCCAATGGGATCCATTCATGGAAATGTAGGGGTACAAATGATACGGGCATATACAATTGATTTGTATCAAAGGGTACTCCAATGCTTGCTAGCATTTTTGGATGCTAGTGCCAATGACAGCTTTCAGCCTTAAGTTAAAAACGGTTCCTCTCAGTTGTACTTTGTGGTTGTTGAGGCTTTTGAAGATTTGTTTAAACATCGCTGTTTTTCTTCTTCTTGTGATCTTAGTGGTGTCTTGTCTAGCTGGAGGCTGATTGTGTGAGATGAGATAAGGATTGAACCCTGTTTTGTCTGCTCTGGTAGACAAAGCATCAATATGAGGCACAAGGTGGGTGACTATAAGTGAAATATGAATTGGAGGGTATGAAGGTAAATCATTATTCTTTACTCGTCTCATATTTTTTTAACATCTGTGCCATTTCACTGGCCCAACGAATGGAGAGAATATTTCTGAACGTCATGTAGTTTCATACAGAGTGGTAAGATGGGAATAAACTGCACCACAGATCTACAGCCAAAGGCAGATGGTGCAGTTAAACGTCTTGTCCTGTGTCAAGTTTTCCTCTCATAGCCATGTTTGCACTAGTGTCTTCATTGGCACAAACATATAACCCACTTACAAATTCACATGGCACACAAACAAGGTAGAAAACATTTCTAAACAACCCTCATACAAGTATTATTTTCACATCTTGTAAAGTATTTTTTTGTTTGTTGCCAGATGCAGGATGATAGGAGGGTTTAATTTCAATTCATATCATGTCAATGCCTTAGAGAGTTGTCTATGTCCAGGATTATAGAGGGCAAAACATCTTTGAGAATTATTCACAGTTGTTAATATAGTAAAAGTAGTAGGTGTGTAAAAGCTGAACATGTCTGTACCACAAAAGTGAATCCCTTATTGTGGCATACATTTAAAAAGTAGTTTGTACTGCAGTATGAAGGCTATAGTGTTTTTTTCAACTTTATGTACACAGAGATCTAATTGGATAATTTCGGTTTTGCATTGGACAAATGAACCAATCCCGGGATTTAGTGCATTTTATCCGAACATATTACTAATCAAACCGAAATGTGTGCGTATACGATGCCCACAGTCATCAAGCCCTCGAAAGTATCTGCAGGATTCCACTTTTCAGAGTCGAGCCTCGAGGATCATTAAAATTATTTTAAACAGCGGTTTACATTTGTCAAAAATGGAATTCTTAAAACAGTGATTTATCTTTTCCTTTATTATAGCTGCTTTGTTCAGCACTGTTCGCAATACACTTGATTAAAGTCACAGGGATATGATCACTCACAAATCCCAATGTCAGTAAATACAGGTTATGATGCAAAACTATCATGAAATTATAAATAAAATATATTAAAAATCACAAATTAATAACAACAACACAGAACATATAGGTCACAACTTTTATTTTGTATTTGCTTTTGGATTCATCAATAATATCAACTGCATCACTGTTGCCTCAATAATCAGAATAGAATGTGTTTGTGGCTATTAACACTTTAGAATCATAAAAAAAGATAATGTATTTACCTTTGACTATTTATTTAAAGTTTTGGACATGCAAATACATTACTGACAGGAAGTTTAATCAGCCGATTGTACTTGAGCTCAGGGTTAGCTGAAGTATCCCTGTTCTGGTTCTGTGTGGTGGCCTTATAATCTTTCTCATCTCTCCATCCACAGTTGTTGAACCGAGCTACTTTATCCTATTCTTGCTGTTTTCAGTTATTTGCGGCAGCTGGCCTTTCTTTTCTCTCTCAGACCTGGCATTGCTGAAGTTTAAGTCCGCCTCCAAGCTCCAAAACGTTCAACTTGGAAGATTTGTGTTGCATTTATGGAGCAGCAGGGTTTTTTTTTTACGTATGCCATATGAGTCTTTTGTCACCTGGTCAGCAAAGTAGAACAAAGGGAGAGAAAACGAGAAGGATGCGCTGACCTTTTCACGACAAAGGGCAGCAAGAGAAGGCGACAGGCCAAGGTAAAGAGGCCACAAAAGAGCACTCCACTTCACTGCACCGTGTGTGTGTTTGAATGGCCTCTAGTGGGTTTTCAGTTTGACTTCTCTCCTGTCTTTGCCCAGGGACATGGGTTGTACAAAAGACATCCAGAGAAAGACCTACTGAAAAGGTCAAGTCGCAACTCTCTCTGTCTCTCCATTTAGTGTGAGCACTGTGGTCAGCAAACAGGAGTGAACACAGGTTGCAGTGTCAAACAAAGGTTAGACTTGCCTCTAGTTGGATTGGCTAGACTATGTTGTTGCAATCTTTAGCATAATGCCTCGGAGTTTAAAAATGCATTTCTTAAAGTAAATGCATGCAAAGGTAGTTTGATGCCATTTCTGTTCATTTTACTTAGAGGCTTAGAAGATGTTTTCTTTCTCTTGAAAAGAACAGGATGAATAAGACAGATAATTCATGCATCACAACACCTGCCCCCACTGTAGTGGTGCTGTTGCTGTGAACATCCAAACGTTCCCAGACTCTCTGGGTCAAAGAGTCAACAGCGAAGTTAGGATGAGTCGTTTTCTTTTTATGTCCTGAATGTCTAAGTCTAAGTTAACAGTATTTGTGCTGCAACCTAACCCAGCAGCTGTCTTAGCTTTAGCCTATACTTAGCAGTAGCTCAACAAAATGACATTTCCTGCTCTTTTCTCTGACATTTGTACCCGATGTAGTGTGGTTAAAGGGGGAGATTGAGGACAATTGGTCAAGGCTAAGGAGTACCAGCTCGGGAAACCATCAGGATGTTCACATTTGCAATGTCATACTTGTTATTCTACAAATGCTTCTGTATTTGTAGGGGCTGGTGAATGAGGTTTGTTTGATTGTGCAGGTGTGCACCTGCGTGTCGGAGTACAAAGATAATCTTGACATTTAGCACCACCTTTGATCTGTTTCTAGATAAATCACTGCTGTGGTTTGTTTGTTCACTCGAAATGGCTTTGAAAATCACTGCCTTCTTTGTCTTCTCTTGATACATTTAAATTAAAAAAGGGTAAATGAAAATACAAAGGTATCAGAAGATTGCTTTTTACTATGAAACAAAAAACATATTGTCTTCATTTTGTTGCGTTTCAATCTATCATCTCCAGTAATATTATTTTTGCATTAAAGGGAAAAGGAATCTATTTCTACTTCATGTAAAGCAGACTTTTTCTCAATTAACTGCATTTAAAGAAATACCTGTTTTAATTGTGGGCCGCCTTATTGTGTGTGACTTAATGGTTTCAGCTTAACGTGACTCAACCAGTCATATAAACAGATTAACTGTACCCAGTTGCATTTAAACATTTGGCAGTCTTCACTTTTTTCCATTGCTTGCACGGATACTGCAATATGACAGTTGCTGAGACTCAAAACTCCCTTTAATATGAGTACAAAATCCATATTCTTCACAGGTTTCATAAACAAAATGAAATAAGCTTATACAATGTTTATCTATGTTACATTCTCTGTGTGTGTTTGTTTTACTGAGAAAACAGGGGATAGCACATGTTGCCAGGGTCTGACAAGATAAGAGCTGTGTGTGTGTGTGTGTGTGTGTGTGTGTGTGTGTGTGTGTGTGTGTGTGTGTGTGTGTGTGTGTGTGTGTGTGTGTGTGTGTGTGTGGTGTGTGTGTGTGTGTGTGTGTGTGGTGTGTGTGTGTGTGTGTGTGTGTGTGTGTGTGTGTGTGTGTGTGTGTGTGTGTGTGTGTGTGTGTGTGTGTGAGAGAGAGAGAGAGGCTGACTCATTGACTCTTATGGCGCTTTTCCACTAAGATGCTCGATGCTTGTTCATGTAAATGAGAGTGTGTTGACCTGCCAGAGTCTGCTCACAAAAATCAATCCATTAGCTGTCTGTTTTCACCTTTCTCTTTCCTTCTCTCCATCTCTCTCTCGCTTACCTCAAGTCTAGTGCGTTTCGTTTTTCTCTCCTGTCTCCCTCTCTCCTTACTCTCCCTTTCTTTCTGCCTCTGTTTCCACCTGTGGCCCTTTCAGCTGTTTTTTAATCTTTCCCCTTTGTTCTCTCATTTTCATCGAACTACAATGGCGATAGCAACCTGAATCTGTACATTTGGATAGATATTATGTCGAATTTAAAAAACACAATGTGCGCCTTGCTATCATTGGACATAACAATATTTAAATACAATTGTCCTGTATAATACATAACTAAATCACACATTAAGACAAAAAGCAAAAATATGCACACAGGGTGAATATGAGTCAGGTGGCAGAAAAATGCAAGTGACACAGCTTTTGATCAATACATAATCAATGAATATTATATTGGTTCGTAATTGGGAGGCGAGGAAACACTTGCTATAATAGCAAACATGCACTGCAAGAACAATTTATTATTTACAAAACGATGTGAAAGTAAAATAAAAGATAGCTGTTATACAGTTGGAAAGAACCTAATTTGCCGTTTGATTACCTTCAAACCAAATAACAATTGTCTTAGACAGGAAACCGGCGGTGCCTGCTTTTGGTAAACAGCCTAAGATGTTGTCAATTATTGAAGCAGCTATGCACTGATAGCTGTGGAGATTTTTAATACGATTCAGAAGATTAGTATTGGTCTTGTACAATTGAATGTTTATGTTTTGATCTTAAATGTGCATTTGATTATTGGTTTTGTGCAGAAAAATATAGTCTTACAAGTGTAATAGGGAAGGGATAATTCTGCTCACAGGGTATCTTCTAAGGCAGCTAATACAAGAGTAAATAAAAGATTATTCACATTTTGATGTTGATTTTTCTGATGTAACCAATCTGTAAAAAACACAATGTTTTTTTTACGATTTGAGCTCCTTAAAATCTGTTTCCATGCCCTGATATATCGCATTATAAACATCTTGGCAACCATAGCTTATCTGAATTCTCAGAATTAACTAAATGTCCCTGTAATGACAATGCAGTGACCTTCAACAAGGGCTCAGAGCAAATGTGCAACACGCCACAAAGAACAATCATTACAAACTGTGTGGGACAAAACATACTGGCCTTTTCTTACAATTTGCTGAGTTTGTATCAGCTGGAATTGAAATTGAAAAATGGTATACCTTCTTTCTGCATCCCTAAAGGGATATAAGCATGCCTTTTTGCTTCTCCTTTCCGACCGATTTCATTGTGATTCTACTGTCTTCACCATTACTGTTCCCTTTTCCAGTGTTAATCTTTGATCTATCCGTCCAGCTATTTCTTCAATGCTATTAATTATCATTATCATGTTTTTATTTAGCCTTCCCTCCTCACTTTCTATATCCATCCATCTCACCCCCCCCTCCCCCGTCTTTCTGTGTTGCTTTCTTTCCTAACCACCATGTTCATTTTGCCCTTCCTTCCTCCTTCGTTCCCCTCACCTCCTCTTCTTCTGTGCTGTGATAACAGAGATGCAGGCAGAAGGAGAGGAGAGTGCTGAGTTAAACACAGACGCACAACTAGGCCAACACAACTGCCTCCAGGGATGTGTGTGTATATGTATGTGTGTGTGTGTGTCCATGTTTATTCGTATCTGTGCATCCGTTTGGTTGAGAGATTGTGACCGAGTAAGACAGAAAATGAGAGTGACAGAACAACATGGACAGACACGGAGAGACATCTGATAAGACCCTGCTATAAGTATATCTATTGTACATAATTTAAAAAAAACAACAGTTGTTTTTAACCTTCATTGTGTAACCAGAAAAACTCAATGAAACAGTTTCAGAAAGAATAAAAAGTTGCTGGTCGTGATGCTGCAATGCAGGGCTACCCACATTCAGGCATTCAGGGAGCATGTGTGTCAGGACACGGACTGAGTCTAGATTTCAAAGTGACCTTTTTTTAAGGTTAATTTAATTAAGAATTGTCCCAACTGGTGCTTGTAAGGCTGTCTGCATTGCAGATCCCGTTGCTTGAAGTAATCTGAATTGTAAAAAATCTATTCGATACGTTGAACTGTTTCAGTCTCATTTCACAAAATGCCACGTGTATTTTGCTATCAGGTAAACACACTGAATATACATCTCTCAGATACATCCTTCCTGTAAATGAGTTGCAATCTATTTTCAACAATCTACATTACCATCATCTTAAAGCATAACAAACTCTTTCAACGCAACACTCAATTGTTTTTTATAATAACTGAAATGATTATTTAATGGCGGAGGGATGTTGGGGGGATTGCATAAGTGTACATATGCATTAAAATGTATGGAATGGACGATGTTCATCAGCCCAACCCTAAATCACATGACTGTTTCTTAAACTCACATTGGACAATACGGCTACTGCTGTATTTGTGTGGCAGCGTGTGCAGATGTTTGGCCTACAGTAGGCAAAGCTGCTACAGTAATATAGAAGAACAGTGAAAGCTACACTACTAAATGTATCAAATCAAATCAAATCAAATCAGGTTTTATTTATATAGCACATTTAAAAGCGATTTTTGGTCGAGCCAAAGTGCTGTACATGTAATAAAAACACATTACTACAATCACAATAAACGACAATAAATTACAACAGATATATCTTAAAAATAAAATAAAAATAAAACACACGGAAAAGTCAGGAGTCGTGCTCCGCTCTAACTAGAAAGCCAGAGAGAAGAAGTGTGTTTTTAGTTTAGATTTAAAAACCCCTAGGGTCTGGGCCGACCTCACATGGAGAGGTGTGTGTGTGTGTGTGTGTGTGTGTGTGTGTGTGTGTGTGTGTGTGTGTGTGTGTGTGTGTGTGTGTGTGTGTGTGTGTGTGTGTGTGTGTGTGTGTGTGTGTGTGTGTGTGTGTGTGTGTGTGTGTGTGTGTGTGTGTGTGTGTGTGTGTGTGTGTGTGTGTGTGTGTGTGTGTGTGTGTGTGTGTTTTGAGTATGTCAATCATAGTAACTGGATCACTGTGTTGCAGAGGATGGTGCGTCTTGATCTTGGACCCTGTGGATTGTAGGCTGTATATGTGCATATATGTTTGGATGTGTGTTTATGTGTATGAATGGCAGTGTTTCTGAAAAACAGACAGGGCAGATGCAGTACGTGTGTGTCCCTTTTGGATGTATTCTGGTTGTGTGTGTAGATGTAGACTGTATGTATTATGCAGACCTAAGAGAGCCTGGTGCTATAAATAAAACAGGGCTGCAGTGTGCTCACTGGCGGAATAATCTATCTGACACTATGGAGAAAGAGAGAGAGAGGTAGAAGTTATTGTAGAGACCAAGAGAAGAGCATAGAGGAAATAGAAGACAGGTGAAGATGCAGAGAAATACAGAATGGGAAGAAACAGAGCCAATGTTTAAGCAAGTAAACAGGGAAATAGTGCCAAGGGAGAAATCTAAATGTGGCTTATCTACAGGGTTTCTTGTTTTTTATACTCCTCACCTGTGTTAAGGACATTCTGCAGGACCTGCACATATTTGTCATAATGTTCAAGTGTTCGTGAGCAAAATGTCAAGAAGCTAGTAAAACCAATTGTTCAGGCCTTTTAACAGAAATATCTGTAATTACATGACATGTTTGCTCATTGATTTGTGTTGTAAGTGCTCAAATACTTAAAAACATAACATTTGATAATAGAGCAGCATTTGTTGTTCAAGGATATATAGACAAGCTGTTGAGGATTTAGTTATACAATAAAGACACAGGCTGGATAGACTATGTGGGTCAAACCAGTGACATTATGATGATGACGGGATTGTCCGCTTAGTAACTGGGTCACCAGTTTACGCAGTTGTTAGAGTCTCTTTCCATAAAGATCAATATACTACATGCTACTACCACTGCATATTGTATATTTTGCCTTGCCAAATGAAATTGACTGGCAACTAACTGTTATCTGCTGTTGCTTTAGTTATAATCTATGGTATGTACGAGCAAAACATGGTATGTGTGTATAAATGTATGTGTGCAGGCATGTATGCATAGAAAGCCATTCATTGATTGATGGATTATCTTCAGTATTCTTGTTAATGCATTTATAAAAGTGAAGTCGCTGCCACAATGTGACATTGAGATGTTTCCATGGACTTGCAAAGGTGCAGGAAGGTGGGAAATGATTACATAATAACTTAGATAATTATTCAAGAGGTAAAGTCTCTGTCAGGCAGCATTAATGAACAAAGCCATCCTTCTTGATTACCCCTTTTATGTCGACCTTCATGTAAAGGGCAGTTACTGGACTAGTACCAATTCAGGAAATCATATTTTGTCAATTAGTGTCCTGGGTTGGAGCACATTGGTTCGAGGAAAAACAGTATCAGCTGGATTTGACGTCCATTGTAACGAGAGGACATCATTTCCTATTCTCACAATATGTCCTCTCCTGTGGCTCTGTACATATCATCAGGATCTTTTGAGTTTTCACCTTCTCTAACTGAATACCTATAAAAAAAAGCTTTCAAAAACACTTGACAAACGTCCTAACTTTCTTAACTTTTCTTACCCGTTGCTCTGCCCTCCAGGTCATGGAGTTGAAGGGTCAAATGATCCATCTGCCCGAGTCCAGCTCCATGATCTTTCTGGGCTCGCCACGTGTCGACAAGTTGGAGGAGCTGATGGGCAGGGGTCTCCACTTGTCAGATATCCCCATCCATGATGCCACGCGAGAAGTTATCCTGGTGGGGGAGCAGGCCAAGGCCCAGGATGGCCTAAAGAAGAGGATGGACAAACTGAAGGTAAAGTGGTTGTTAGTAGTAAACACTGGGTCCATTCTTATTCACAGTGCCACTGAGAAAACTTTGACTTTATGAAAAAATAGGCTTTTATTTGTGGCTTCTTGTCTTGTCCTAAACAGGACCCACCTGCTTAAATATGTTTAAAATGTTCTAATCTTCTAATTTACAAAAAGCTGATAGGTGTTAGCTTCACAGCACAGATGTAGGGGCTTTGATTACCACTAATCCTTACTAGCTTCTAATTGGCAACAACATACACTATTTATAATATTGTTTGCTATTAAGAAGATTTCTTGACTTGACTATTTGGCAACCAATCAACGTGAGTAATGACAACCCTTGATCATGATCCTTGAGATAGTGAAAATACACAAAATATTCAGTATGTTGTTTAAGTCTGTGTTTCTGTTTCCCATCATGATGGTTGCGAGACAACTCACTGAAACATGTTAAATCCAGTGTCTCTGCTGACTGACTCATTCATATTGGTTCGGAGAGAGCTGCTCCTGGGACTTGCTCTTATAATTTGCTTTCAAAGTACCCTTGAGAAAGTCTTGAGTCTTGACCCAATCTTTGCATCTGCTCGCTGCAATACTCTCTCTGCATCTACTCCCCTAGGCCACTGTTATAAATAGCTAAATCTTGGTTGACTTGCCTGCTTGAACAATGGTTCAGCAATGCATCAGACAGATTTAGCATTCACAAGCTCGCCCACGGACACAATTACACATATGCAGATTCACACAATCAAAAATAAATCAAATCAATACACAAATAAATGTACATGCACTGACAGTTTTAATTTGGTGCAGTACTCCCACATCCCCTTCCTTATCCTTAGAGCCTTTCTCAAAGCAAAGCACACAGAACAAAACCTTATCTCCTTATCTGCTTCTCTCCTCACAGGCCACGTTAGAGAAGACTCACCAGGCACTGGAGGAGGAAAAGAGGAGAACCGTGGATCTCCTTTATTCCATATTTCCGGGTGATGTTGCACAGAAACTGTGGCAGGGTCAGCCGGTGCCAGCACGCAAATTTGATGATGTGACCATGCTGTTCTCAGACATCGTGGGATTTACTGCCGTGTGTGCCCAGTGTACACCTATGCAGGTCATCTCAATGCTGAATGAGCTTTACACACGCTTCGACTACCAGTGTGGCATTCTGGATGTTTATAAGGTCAGTATCCACAATATCTTCTTTATACGATATAGGAATACCTAAGGGATAGGATGCTGGGACATTTGTTGAAACTGTAAAAGTGGGATTACAGAAAAATAACGTTATTGTGCAGAATCAGGTCATAATAAAACAATTAAAACTTCTTGAATGTCTCCCAGGAACCTACAGACCACCTTTACAGGCTCTTTAAAGGTTTACCATGTGTATCTAAGGCTAACCCTTTAGCATGTGTCATTATCTGTGTGAACATGATATATTTGTGTGTGTCGACAAGTGCATACTCTACATGTATGCAGTATTGATAGTGGTTATGCTTGTGTTATGGAAAAAATGTAACCAATTAATGGCCAGTATGTTGGAGCCTAACAAAGATATGTCATCATTGTCCATCTGACAGTGTGGCTTCTGGCCCAGTTACAGCCTTCACTCTCGTCAGCCATATGTCCTTCTTTTCCTCCTGTCTTTCTATTTTCTGATCAGTATTTTTGTTCTTTTTTACTTGCCATCAACTTTACTCTGTATCTCTTCATCCGCAGTCACTGTGATAACAACAAAAACATGCTTTTCCTCTTTGTTATTTCTCAGAGATGTCTTGTGTCAGATGCCTAAAGGAGAAAGAAGATCAGATACAGAGAGGAAGGCAGACAGATAGGGTGTATGTAACAGGGTTTATGGTATAGCAACTGAGGAGTGAGTGTGTATTTGTAAAAGAGATGCAGGAACAGGAGGATATGCTGAGGAGATTGAGGAACACATATGTTGCCATTGTCATGGTTACTGTCGCAATGATTTAGCCCGTGGCCGTCCTAAATGAGAGCAGTTTGTCGCATCGTTTTTTTTCTTTCTCTTCTGCCTTTTCTTTCTCTCTTAAAGGATTGTGTTAACTGTCATGACACCAAGCTCACTCTGCTCTGGAAATATGGCAACACATCTGTGAAAGAGACACTATTTGCTTGCTTTATCAACAAATGTCCTGTTACAAAAATGTCTTTATTTGTTAGCATTTAAAAATCGCTATGTATTGCATCATTCAAGATGTCAAGCATGTCCTTCATGGTGTCCTACAAGTACAAGTACACTAAACCTCATTGTAGAGCATTTAATAAAATACTGGTTAACTTGTAACTCTTAAAAGATTTTTGAATATGTAAGCGTTTATGACATGATGGCTGCAATGGTGTCAAGAATGAATGGAAATGCTTGATTTGATATGCTTGTGTTTTTAGGCCTCTCAGACTGGGTCAGAAGCAATGCAAGTTGCTGTAAGTGCTTTGCAGAGATCCACTCGAAGCGCTCACCAAATCCTCTTGTGAATAATGTGGCCCAAAGAGAGAGAAACTAACAGCAATACTGTAGGGCTTTTCATTTCTAATGTGGAGATGGCATAAGTGGTTGAATAACTTCTTGGTTTCACACATTAGCATATACTCACAGTTCCTGCCCTTCTTCCTCCTGCATTTCTCTTACAGATCGAGACAATAGGCGATGCCTACTGTGTGGCGGGAGGACTTCACAAGAAGGTGGACAGTCACGCCAAGCCGATCGCACACATGGCCCTGAAGATGATGGAGCTTTCTGAAGAAGTGCTGACTCCTGATGGGAGACCTATCAAGGTGGGTTTTCATTAATATTTTAACAACACTGTGCTACTTGCAAACAGAAACTAGCCTGATGTGCTTACATTTTGTCCTAATTATTCATATTTTCCTTCATTTTATTGCTTTGTTTTTTTATGCATTTCTTATTTGCTATAGGTATTTGATTTTCTCCCTCTGTGCCATTTTATAATCAATTTTTATTTTTATCTTGCATGTTTTAATGTACTCCTTGTTTGTAGGCCATTTCTGGGTAATTCACTGTTTTCTACTTGCTTAAATTATCATTATAGTATGTTCGCTTAATGGTGTCTGTAAAATTTCAAATGTGGATATAGTTCAGGATTTATCCTTAATAAAAGGTAAATGTGTGTCCGACTGCTGTTGATCAACCAACTTAAGGAGGTGCATAAAAGGCACGTTTGCTGTGCTATTTTGTCACAAATCAGCACCTGATTGTGATTGATTGTTTTTTTCCACTTTTTCCTAATTGAATAAAAACATAATTTTTTTATATATATTTATATATATATTTTTTTTGTTGCGGCATTCCTAATCACCATGAAATGAACGCACAATCAATCGCTTGCTGAGATGAAACACATGTTGTCTTGTCAGCAGTAGTTACTATATGACAGTTTTAAACAATCGCCGAAGACATTCAACAGGGTCTTGGCTGTCTTGCTGTTGTTATGTTGTGCCACTGCTGATTTTTGCTGAAGCGTTATAAGCCTAGTATTGTATTTATTTTGGTTTCATTTTATTCTGATACCTTCACTATAAGAACACGAGCAATTAATGCATATGATTTTGCAACATTTTGTGAAACTGATGGAGACCAATTAAAAACATGTGATTGAGATCCACTGTGCATCGCAAGAAGAGTCAATTGGCATTCACCACACTTAAGCCAACCACAAAGGACTTTTTACCTAAAAATAAGTGGAATTATCAGTATTGTCGCTTAGTGCTGAGCAGTTCATATTGTTCTTTAGGGTTAGGGCTATAGTGTAATATAGTGAAAAAGGTCGTTCCAGTCTGTTCCTGCCTTTTTGACATATCTATAATTATGTTTCTGTTTATTTCCTTTGGTTTATATTTGCACATTATTGACAATTTCAGACTGCACACTGAAATTGAAGGTTGCAGCACTGACTTTATGTGCAGTTGTCATGGTGATAACGGGACGATGAATAATGTATAGGTACGAGATTTAATTTGAGTGCTGTCGAGATTACATATTTTTGTAGGGCAACCTGAAAGTAAACATTGCATCTGTTCACTCGACACAAACCAATGTGATTTTACTTTAACACTTTAATATTTGAAAAGTGTATGTAGTTAGCAAAAGTAAAAAGGTAACTTTCTTCTGCAAAAAAACTACCCCAAGGTCGCATGACGGCACCAGCAGCTAGAGCCACACTTGATAAAGTGAAATATCTCAGTGACAACTTTTTTTGCAACTTGTTAGCAAATGCCTTTTTAAAAGACCTGTAAAGAATAAACATTTATTTAGTGGAGTATTTTATGCTAGCTAAAGCTGAGAAGCGGCTTTCTGAATGTTTTGTACACAGATCTTTGACAATTAACGGACTTGTTCCATCCGAGCAGAGCAAATTAATCCAACCAAGCAATTTTTCACATCCACACAATTTTCACTCTTATTTGCAGTGAATCGCTGCATTGAGCCTCTCTCGTGTCAGTGGATGTCTCTTAATGTAGATACACTTGTGTTTACACTGAGACTTAATTAGTGCCTATGTGGGCCGTGTAGGTGTATGCATGATACGTTTTGTTCTATTTATGTACCATATGCTTCTGAAGGGTGTATGTGGGTGTGTGTACAGTATGTGTGTGTGGGTTTCTCTATTACTCTTCTGTTTCTTTTTCCCCCTCTTTCTCCGCTTCACGTTGATGCGCCGATTAAGCTGTGCTTACTACATATTCACCTCACACAACCTCCTTAAGTCTGGTCGATATGTACATCAAATTGATTTATTTTATCCTCCCATTGAACAGTACATAGGATAAAGAGTTATTTTGGTTTGTCTATTTATTTATACATCATGGTTTATTTCAGCATGTTGGCTATGAGACATTGAAAACTGTAATACTGCTCCAGGAAACACATGCGTTGAAGAATATTTAGAAGACCAAGAATTGTTCCTTTTATTTTAATTTTTTTCGCCACTGGGTGCATTTGGTCTTTAATTTGTTTAAAAAACACATAAAGAATGACACAGATAGGAACAAAACATCTATAAGAGAGATGCAAAGACAGATTGCTGCTGAATAACAGACAGGACACTGTGCTCACAACATTGTCCGTTTGTTTCGAAATAGAAAGGACTTGCCAAGCATTTTTGGCCTGCTCTCCTGCTCTTCCACTTTCTCTCCCTCTCTGTCTTTCCTCTTCCCTACCTTTCCCTCCCTCTCCTCCCTTTCCCTCGCTCTCTCCTCAGAAGCCCCTTTTCTATCTCATTCCTTTCTTTTTCCTCTTCAGTTTCTCACTTTCTTTCCCCCTCAGTGTGTGTTCCTGTTCTTTCTCAGCTATCCTCTCCTCTTTCTCATCCCTCCTCACTTCATGTTGTTATGAACAAGAGTTATAGAGATATTCAGCACTTATGCATGATAAACACTGTTCAGTGAGTGCACTCAACTTCAGCCAATGTTGCACTGTTATGCAAACTAGCATGAGAGCTGTGAGAGATAACTGAGAGACAATGCTTAGTGAGAGAACTGGAGAGAGTGATCCGGGGACACAGAGAGAAATATACAGCAGGAGTGAGATGTCAAGAGAGTAACACATGTAGAAACCCAGCAAACAGAGCTGTTTTTACCCGAATGTGTGCGTCAATTTCAGGCCAGTGGTATGATCTTCTTGCATGTGTGTGCTTGTCAGTATGAGTGGATGTATGAGTAGGTGAGTGGGTGTGGGTATTGGGGATGTAGTGCTTATATTGTCACTGCTAATAATAATGTGGGCACATTCAAATTCAATTCAAATCTGATTTATTTTGATGGCACCATGTCATACAAAAGCAGGGTATTTTACATACAAAACAAGTGAACAGGCATCTTATACCACATATATCAAGTATACTGTTCAAATCTTTGAAGTACATCTTAGTGTACAAAGTAAGGTATTTTGTTTGGGTTTTAAAAGTCTAGCAGACAAATTGTTCTATATCGTTTAGTTGAATCATACTAAATGCCATCACACTTGATTTAGAAAGAGCTTTCTAGGCACATGGAGGAGATTTCCATCTTGTACCCGGAGAGATCTGCCAGGGAATCACTGACAGCCTGTCGGAGATGTACTGTGGAGCTAGACCAGCTAGAGCTTTGAAAACCAAAAGGAGGATTTTGAATTGTATAGAGAAAGCAAGTTAACCAATGAAGGCTTCGGAGGATGAGGGGTTATATGTTCTGATGTTTTTGTCCTGGTTGGAAGATCATTTGTAATCTATAGGTTGTTTTATTTGAAAGACTCAAAAACAGAATTACAATATTCCAGCCTGCTCATAACAAACACATGTAGAGACTCTCCGAGTAAGTTTGGGATGAAAGTCTTAAAATGTTTCTGGGAAAAAAAGGCTACCTTGGTGATTGTGTTGATATGATACAAACATTACACGAGCAATATCTGAGCACACTGTTTTTAGAAATGGTCAGGGGCTCGTCATTCTAACCAACAGTGGCTGTCTTTTCCTGACCACATTTTCAACACAGAGGTAATTGATTTATCGGCAGATTCTTCTTGGCACTAAAAACAAAACAAATAACTTTTCTTTTGATTTGTTTAGAATCCCCCCATAATGAAGATACAAATGTTTTCGTACACCTCATTTTTACCAATGAGGGATGGCTGGATACCACCTCTCTGTAATGCAACATATTTGAACAGCACAACGAAATGAATCCTCAAAAAATATCATTAAAGTTGGATCAGCTTCTCTATACTGTATATATTAAAACTTTCATGAATGTACAATTGATTGCACAGCGATTGTATGCCCGATGTTACCAATAAACTGAGTAAATGTGAAGCAAATGTGTCTCTATAACAACTCCCTCATCTCTATCATCGTCTTTCTCTATCTCTGTATCCTTCTGTCAACTTGGCTAGAGGCTACAATCTGGTTGGTTGTCTATGCTGCTGCGCCATTTGCTCATTGGCTCACTGAGGGCCCTGTGCTCTCAGTGCTGACTCACAGCGAAAAGGAGAGGAAGAGTTTATGAGTGTTAGTGTGTCTGTGTTTTCAGACTAAGAAATAAAGAGAAGAGTGGGCGCTGGATGCAGGTTTATTTGTGTATGTCTGTGAGTGGTTGCCTTTTGTGGAGAAAGACAGTAGAGCGCACGGCCATCTGTAAGCAGTTTAGCTGAAAAATAGGTCACAGTCGTGCACCTGCCAGCCCTTTTCCCGCCTTCTGTCCTGCTTTCTTTACGGGATCTCTCCTGTTGTGCTGTCAACGTTTGGACAGCTAATTATAAGTTTATTTGTGCCTCCTCTCCGTCTCTTTCTTTCTCTAGTGTTTCTGTCGTTCTGTCTTTCTCTCTGTCTGTGCTCTTTCTACCTCACTAACCCCATAGCCCGTTGTTGCCATGACTACCTCGCATGAGTGCTGGAATGCACACATTGGCGTTGGATACCTAGGTGATGAGATGCTCAAGTAGATCGTTGGAAATCCACCGGGTTCCACTGGCTGTGTGTGTGTGTGTGTGTGTGTGTGTGTGTGTGTGTGTGTGTGTGTGTGTGTGTGTGTGTGTGTGTGTGTGTGTGTGTGTGTGTGTGTGTGTGTGTGTGTGTGTGTGTGTGTGTGTGTGTGTGTGTGTGTGTGTGTGTGTGTGTGTGTGTGTGTGTGTGTGTGTGTGTGTGTGTGTGTTAACTTGTTGTTTCCACTAGGAAATCAATAGTTAGTCAGGTGGCCATGAATTGGCGCAGTCAAATTGGAAAGATGGCTAGCTTTCAGTGTCCCTCTGGCCATTTATAGATTCATACTTGAGCCAGATTATAAGATGAGTACCATGTTGCTGCCCTATATCTACAGTATTACCAGGAGGAGATGAAGGCAATTATGTACTTGATTAGTTTTCCTCTCTCTTGCTATTTTAAGATTTTCATCAAATCTGCTGCCACAGGATATGAAATTAGATAATAAAAGCTACGCTAATATGGAAGTAATATTGCTGCAGTACAATTTCCATTCGGTGGATCAATGCACACACAGCAACTCTGGTTCAGAAGAACATGGCCTCAGCTGCAGGATAGGCGGCACATGAACTAATGGGATCTGTTCTGCAGGGAAATCTAAAATATGAACATTCACAGCAGTGCCAGGTCTGTTACAGCTCCGATCATTTAGATTTGATTACATTGCTAACAGATCTTAAAAGCAATTTAGTTATAATAATGCTTAATCTCCCATTTACATTTTCTGTTAGTGAGATTTAATATCTATAAATAGTAGTCCGAACATAGTGAAGCCCTTTATAAAAACATCTTATCAAAACACCGATATATAGTTTATAATAAAGGCTGATAAACAGAAATCATCAAATCCTCACATTTGACAAGTTTTGTAATTCAATTAAATAGTATTTAGTTTGCATCTCTGATTGACTTAAGAATGAAATAGGAAAAGACGTGCCAATTACTTTTTTTTTGTTCATCATTTTATCGACTAATCATTTAATCATCAGACTTTGTTGATGAGCAATTAAGATTTAAGGGAAAAGTAATGTTTATAAACAGATTTAAGTGAAAATATCAACAACAGAAGCAACATATATTCCATGTTAGGCTAGGTCAAGGATCTTACATGAAACACATGCTTTGAACTTTTTAAATACTGCTGGTTTTGTCATTGCTCTAATCTTTAATCCATCCCCTTCTACCTCTTTTTTTCTACACTCTTCTCCCACCACCTTCTTCTTCCCCCTCTCTCTCAGCTAAGGATCGGGATCCACACAGGTTCGGTTCTGGCAGGCGTGGTCGGGGTTAAAATGCCACGTTACTGCCTGTTTGGGAACAACGTGACACTGGCCAGCAAGTTTGAATCGGGGAGCCATCCGAGATGTATCAATGTCAGTCCCACAACTTATCAGTAAGTAACGGCGTGACAACTCTTGTTTAAACCATGTGTCTATCATGACACTCACACTTTTGAATGTTATTTAAAAAAAAAGGCTTATTTTCTCTTCTCAACAGGTTGCTGAAAGATGACCGCTCCTTTTCATTTGTCCCTCGCTCAAGGCTGGAGCTCCCAGATAATTTCCCCAAAGAAATCCCGGGGACATGTTACTTCCTGGAGGCGGGAACATCTCACAGCCACGCCTCATTGACCAGCTCTCGCTCTGCCCCCCCGGCCTCTATGAGGAAAGTGTCCTACAGCATTGGGACCATGTTTCTAAGGGAAACAAGTCTGTAGGTCCCGTACACGGACTAGGATACGCAGATATTCATAATGAGAGAGGCTGGATTTGAACCTATGGAACATGCAGGGAACAGATCACAGAGAAAAAATGTGGATATGCAACAGAGTTCTCTGAAAACTTGTATTCAGACCTGTGGGCTGGCCAATATGAATGAACTTGTTGCGTCATTGTAGGTGAAAAAAAACAACATGTCCTCATCTCACCTGAGCAGAGAGATATGGTTCATAAAACTTGAGGAACAGCAGTTGAGTTAGTCTCACACGGACCCGTCCCTAAGGAAGTGTAGTGATGGGGCGATGAGCAGAGAAACCTTAATATAAAACACAGTGATCTAACCAAGTTCCTAGTTCTCTTCCAAACAGCACCTTGACGTGGGTCAAGAGGCAACAATTCTTGGAGGAAAATCATTACCACTGTTGCACACATAAGCAATGGAATTGGGCAAACAGAACATATCCAATTCCCATTAACAAGGACGAGGCAGAAGAATTAAGTTGTATGAACTTTAGAGGATGGCAATATTGTGCTTCATGGCCTCTTGTGCAAGTTAAACCCCTGCTGAAGAACAATACAACTCCCCTTTCAACTGTCCCTAAATCATGTCATGCTTTACCAAACATACTTCTAACATCTGCTGCTCGTTACATCCATCTTCAAAAGACATTTGGTGGGTGTGTGGGAGAGGACGGATGAGAGGCACAGACAAGGAGATAGGTTTGAAGAGGGGTCATCAAAGGACAAATGCCAAATAACGCTACTGCTAAGCTGATCTTAGAGCCTTTTATGCTTCTAATTCACAGGAAACTATAACCAACAATAATACAGCCATTTCATTACAGGTAATATGTTTAGGACTGAAAATTATTCCCAGCTCAGTGCCTTTTTACTGCTCAAATCAGAACAAACACAAGATGGGTTAGTTTTAAATATTTGAAAATAAAATAAAACACAAGAGCGCTTCACTTATCGAATGTTTCTATTTTTTTTAAATGTCTTTTTCTTCGCTCTAGGCCACCAAAAGTTACAACTAGTAAGTTCTTTAATTTGAGAGGGTAATAAGTGACAAGATAAATCAAGCGCTTCTGAAATATTAAACATATTTAAAATTCTATCCATCTTTGTTTTGTCCGGATCAACCAATAATACACACAATATAGTACTAATAATATAGTACTATACTAACTTGTACACATAGTCGAAGTATGCATGCTTGACACGGTTCACATTGACATACGTAATATTTTTTAATTGCATTGTTTTTTTTACCACATTTATATAAAAGTATACACTAACCCAATGCAAATGTAACCAACAGGATTCAAATTTAAGTCTACTAGTTTGCTGGTAGACTGAGTATAATTGACTCAGTGGAAATCTCAGGCCTTCCAAATACTTCTGCGTAGCTTAGTAACCCAGACATGGGAAAACAAGTTTTGAGCAAGAGAAGCTTCATTATCTGTCGTAAAGTGAGAAGACAAGGGTCGAAGTTGGATAGTCTTTGAATATTTGACAGGCTTGTCACATTTGAAAACCTACTTCATGTAATTAACATTACATTCCTGCCACCGTTCTGGTTGTTGACATCACATACATGTGACATCAGTGGAGTACAAAACATACATTTTATATCAATTAAAGGTGTTGCCGAGTTGGCCCTCAGAGAAGATAATTGTATTTAGTCTCATGAAATATTATGTTTTTATGTTGATAGAAATGTGTTCTATAACCAAACAAAGTACTTAGATATGTGTTAACATCACATCCCACTTTCAGGCTATTATAAATGAAAAAGAAAGATTTGAAATCTAGATTGTTTCAACTTAAAGTACTAATACCTGTGCGTGCTTACCCTACTTGGTGTCAAATAAAAATGTTTTCTTAATTGTACAACAGCATCACAATAAGGCTTACTTTACTGATAAAACAACCTACATGTAATAACTCAACTGTTAATAGCTGCTCTTCTAAAGACATCGTTTGACAATGGAAAACTCCAGCACAGGGTTTATTTATCTTTTCAATCACAAACCTTCACCAGGAATGGAAAGAGACTGGCAAGTTTTAATTTCATTGCATCTGACACAGTTGATGTATCTTTAAAACTTTAAACTTGAAATGTGCCAATTTAATTCTGAGAAAACACCAGCACAGGCTTATCAAAGTAAAGGATTTGGTTCCTGCTGTCAGTTCAATCAGGAGAGATGGTTTTGATGTAAGAATACATATGTATTGCCAGGAATACACAAATTAATGTAATGGAGTTTTGGCGATTAGGCCCCGTTGTGCAGGAGTATCATTCGGGAGGGGAGAACCGATCCGATGAAACCCCCCTGGGGTCTAGACACTGGCGGTGGTGAATTGATAGTTGGGTTCGATCTGAAGGGGAGTGGCTTAGCTTGACCCTGGATTCGAGGGACAGGAGTGGCTGAGATGGACACCAGCATAACAAAGCAATGTGCCATATATGAATAAATGATGGGAGGGGAAGCTAAAAAAGAAAAAGAAAAGCACTAATTTTCACCTGCCAGTGTTTGAATCAGATCGTTTTTGAAATGTTGGTAATTATTGTCATAAATATTTCCAACATCATTCCTCTGACAGCCGTAGCATTAGTTAGCTTGGAACGCTTGCACATTTACAAAATGTATGACCTATTTTTTCAATTGTTTCCTGTTCCTTTAAGTGTTCTATGCAGTATATAATTAATAGTGGATTAGCCAACACTGTCAACTAAGCATACATTCACTCAGTTGAAGACTTGGGGGCATAGTTTTATCTTAAAGAATCTGTAACACAATCAAATGATGTGTATTAACTCAGAAATAATGCCAAGTGGCAACTAAACTAAGCTAGCATATCATTTTTTTGCTACACTTTGAAAGCGGCATATATGTTATTCAATTTATATTGCTTTGTGGCAACAGAGCCAATACAGTTCCTGAGACTATTGATGAACATTAATATCTGTTTGGGTGATATTATAGAAAACCATAATCTGCAACACCTACCTCGACATCAGGGAAACACACTTCATGTAGGCCCAATCTGTAGGGATACTTCAGTGGCTAAGACACAACATGTATCCTCATGGTAATGTTTACTTTCCTGCCTATGACAAGTTAAATACTGTAGGTATATTATTATTGCCAAATACACCAGAGAATAGTCCATGTGGGAAGTTCCCCATGTCTTTAAGTCCTGGGAATGTGAATACTGCTAAGCCTTACTTTTGAACTGATAGTATAAGATAATAATTTAGGAGGTTAAATGGACCGTTTTATGGAAGTCTTCTTAGCTCTATTTTAGTTTGATCAAAACACCGATGTTCCATATGGAAACATGAACACATAAGCGCTCCCTTGTGTATGCACTTATTAGAGTGGGACATATTGGGAACACAAGACAAGCAACAATCTGATGTTACACATGGAGGAAGACGTATATAAATGCAGCCTCACAATGATGTGTTAGTTCACAATATATACGGTAGAGCTCCAGGAATGAGTAAAACAATATGGAAATTATTTAGCATTTTTTCGCTTACGGTCCCCTTGCCTAAAATTCCACGGGTGTTTAGGTAAGATGCCTTATATAAGGCCTTTGCTTTGTTCTACAACATGGAATTAGTCAGGCAATACCCCACACGTGAATTTTCTATCTTTTTACGTTTCTTAGAAAGGCAGTTTCTAACAAATGGCCAAATAGGACAACTCTAAGTCATTGCGCTGAACAGTTGTCTGCCCAGAGCTAAATAAAGTAATGCAGCCGTGGTGTAGTTCGTTTATAGTGTGTTTTAACCTCGGGTAAAGATTAAAAAATATGGAACACCTGCAGCATTGGATATATTAAAGAAAGTCATATTAATGCTACATACAACATTCAGTGCATAGACATTCATAAAGCAATGAATAAAGCAACATAAAACAGAATGTCCTTAGGGTCCCCATAAGGTAGCTGAACCACTCTTAAGTGTATTTGACAGTTGTGTTAATGAGCCTGGGGTGAAGTTTTTCTAGGCGTTCACATTATAGAGATGCTCTCTGACTGCCATCCTAGCGATATTCTACAGCGCATACATGCATAGATGTATACTTAATAAATCTATTGTAGCATAAATGTGGTGTTATTTACACTCAACTTCATCAGTGCTTAAATTCTTCACGGAGGCTATTTAAAGGACATTAGAACAGCGTTACACCCACGCAACTTGTGTCCAACGCTCATGTGTCCAAGTCTGTAAATTCTCAGCATAATAGTCAACGTTTGGTCACATCTTACAATACTTGCTGTTATAATGGGGATGGTTTGCAGGTACTGGTTCTCTATATTGTTATTGTCACTAATAGTCCATTACACTGCATTGCATACTGTAGGTCACTTACTCATACACAGGGGAACATTACAGTTACAGTGGCAATTCAACTGAGCTATGCTGGAATATTTGTGTCAAACAATGAACATGAACAAATGTTGTCATGAGCCTGAGGTAAGTGCGGGGGGGTCCAGTGTCCAGTGAGACAAAGCCAAATACATCCGTAACTCAAGCAACTGTTGTGTGTGTGCTTTGCTGTGTGAGTCTGTGTGAGTCTGTGTGCGTGTGTGTGTCAAATCATATAAGAATATAATGAGTGCGCAGATAATAATTTGTTAATAAAGGCCTATTGTACCTGTAACAAATCTGTACAATTAAGATCTATTTAATATATAAAATTGAGAAATGGAATTTGTAATACAATTATATTGCAGATTTCTTTTGTATAATTCACAAAACATGATTTTCACATTTTCCACTGCTTTGTTGTGTGTTTTCTATATCAGATGCTTTATGTCAGTATATGTGCCATCGAAAGCCAGGCTGGTTTTCCCAACATGCAACATAACCTTTCCATCCTTAAGTAATCCTTATGTTCTCAAGAATCGTGAACAAAATTGTTTATTTTTCCATTTACAATATTGTCGTTTTTTCTCCCACATATTTTGATTGGTTTTCTTAATGATGGACACTTTTCCTTCAACTGAATGAGAATGTCTTTATTGAAAGATAAAGTTGCTTAACATAGGATTTTTGTCAGGACAATGTCATAAACTGTCTTGTTGCCAAGATTATCTTTCCCCCGACTGACTTGCAGGACAAATGGTCTAAGCTGATGAGGAACTGGTTCATATATTTGTTTAACTATAATAAACCTTGGATTAAAAGCAGAAACAAACATGGTGGATGCTTATCATCCATGTCCAGGGTCCAAAAAAAGAATCCAGCCATTGTAAAGGATGCATAGTACTCCACTCATCAATCTCACATGAGAATAGTAGCTTCCATAACATTTGTACGCCAGCTCACTTTGAAACTAAATAAATATTTGTGACATTTAACAATTTAACAGAGTGTAACTTAGGGAACCACTGGGTAATGTCACGTGTCCGAAATCTGGTCAGTGTTTTGTACTTTGTCATGTTGTAAACATACAGAGCTGACCCTGGACATGAACCCTGTTTGTTTGTTATTGGAATCAGGTGTGTGTGTGTGTGTGTAGAAGAGGCTTGATGACATTAAGGGCACATCTTCTGTCTAATATGATGTAAATAAAAAACACCAAGTATCTTTAATAAGGAAGAAATACTGTGGCTTTTACTGTCTTTACACACTTTACACTTTTGACTGATTAATGTTTGAGTCTGAGGATGCATTTTATTATGTGATAAATTAGCATTAACATCTCCTTTCTTTTGCCTTTTCTCATTAAACTGTGGTTGGGTGACGTCACACTGATACTGAAACACTAGGTCTAGTTTTCAAGAAGACAGATTGAAACTATAGTCCTTCAGCAGTTATCAATGGATCTACAGCCGCATGGATTTAAACAATGCTGTTGGCAGGATGAATAAGAACATCATAGTTGTCTGGACCAGGCAATGTTTTCTCTTGTATGTGGTCCAGGATAGTCTCACTTCAGCTTCAAACTCTTGCGTCTGGTTTTCAGGAGCTCTTGTTCCTCAACTTCAACGAGTTGTATTTATCAGGTAGGAAACTAGAAAAGCACAACTATAGGCCAACTGTAAATCAGGTTGAGATTGTGTTAAAACTTAATAAGTGTGCTTTTTTACTTTTTGGGAGTTCATGCACAGACTGAACCTGAAATAATAATTGTTTTGGCCACTTGGTTTGATACAATTGTAAATACAACATTTATGAATCGTTATCTTTGAATTTGTTTTAAGCAAACTTGTTGGCAAACAGTTGCTCATTAATCCATTAAGTTAGTATCATCAGTTATTAGGAAAAATTATTCTGGCTAAAGTCAACATAAGTCCAAAAGTAATTCTCCATTCATCTCCACACTTATTCTCCACTAACTCCAGAGAGAAACCTCTAGCTTCACAGCTGCTAATTGCTCCACTTTGTTCACCTCTACAGACAGAGACGTTGTCTGTCTGTAGAGGTGAACAAAGTGCTGTTTGGTGTTGAGCAGTGTGGTGTTGTAAAGGGACTTTCACCGTAACAACAGCTCTCTGCTGGTGGAAAACAACGCTATAAGAGCAGTGAGAGTGAAACCAGAATAGTACAATTGTGAACTAAAGCTCGGACCACCTGAATAATTGCTTTTTTGTTATTTGTCCCAGCTTTCGATAAACTTCAGCACTGTTCTGTCTGTGCTCGTTCTCATTACTGACAACTAATACAGGTGGTAAGTCATTAATGTTATTAACTTTTCTAAACTGTAAAACACTGATGTACTGTATGTTTAAACAAGGAGATGTTGATGTTAGCCAACCAGTCTGACTGTTGAGTGAGCCTTTTCAAATTGTGTTGATAATTTTCAGCCTGCATGCAATATGCAATGGCAAATTGGTTGCCATGTAAACTAGGGCAACCAGCAGACTTTACTTTGCTGCCTCCTGTTATTTTTGTTATTCTTGTGCAAATTCTTTTTACAAATCCTCTCAGAAGGTGCACATTATTGGTAAATTAGTTTGTCAGTCAGGAAACACTTAAAAAGCCTGTAAAACGTTAAGACTTTCAATGGAGTTGTTCCTTTCCGTCCCCTGTATTCTTGCACTACGCCGACTTCTCTGTTCCGTTTAATGTTCTCCTCTAACCCTCCAGCCCTCCACCCATCCCTTCCTGCCTTTATCTTTTATCCCCTCTGTATATGCAAATACGTCTCCATTACTCTAATTGGCTCTGGGAGGTTTGAATGTTTCACGTGGACCATCTTCACTGCACAGACGAGAGAGTATGGGCTTGGCATTGTTCTTGATTCTGGTTTAAAGTGGACAAAGCAAATTGACAGTATCGTAACTAAAATGGGAAGGAGCATAGCTGTGGCGAGAAAATGTACAAAGTATGTAACACCAACCACTTTGAAACAAGTCATTCAGTCTCTGGTTTTGTCACATCTTGAGTACTGTCCGGTCATATGGTCATCAGCAGCAAAAACACATATACAGAAATTACAAATTGCTCAAAACAAGGCTGCCAGACTAGCTCTCCACTGTTCGAAGCGCACTCATATTGGAGTTATGCATAGAAACCTATCATGGCTTCCGGTTGAGAAACGTCGGCAATCTCGTGTTATCACTTTTCAATTTTTTTTCTCCAATTTAGCAAAAAAACACTGTATTTTTATGATCAAATAGTTTACACAAGAGACGAGCATGACCATGAGACTAGACAAGCTACATCAGGCCATCTACATGCACCTAAACCCAGGACACATCTTCTGAAATCTTCTGTGACTTATAGAGCTATAAAGGAATGGAACTCATTGCCAAACTACCTTGATGAAATAGAGTCCAGAGCCTCTTTCAAGAAGAGATTGAAGGGCCATCTACTAATGACCATGTACCCTTGTGAGCTGTGAACCCTAATTGAATTTGATCTCATGCTTTGTACTGGTGGGTGTCTTGTGCACTCATCCTTGGCTGAGATTGATATTGAAAGTGGATGAGATTGTTGATGATGTTGGAGATTGTTGATGATATTGGTGATGTTGTTAATGTTGCTAATGATGTCAGGACTTATGTCTTGAATGTTGTTGTATTATTGCTGTATTATTGTTGTATTGTTTTAAGTGTCGGACCCCAGGAAGAGTAGCTTTTGTCAAGAGCAAAAGCTAATGGGGATCCTAAATAAACATAAACATAAGCATAACATGGCACAAGCTAACGTGCTAATGGAAATCACACACACACTGAGGTATGGTTGAATGAACAAAGGTCATGTAATTTACACACTTTGCTTGTCATATTAGCCAAATGAAGCAGGGCAGAGTTATGGGGTGCTGACAGTTTTACAGCTTGACAGGGAGTTATGAGGTTAGTGAGGGGCTAAGGTGTGTGTACTGTATGTAGACCACTCTGCATCATAATGAATAATGCACCCAATATTCATGGGTGCATATGTAGAGGAGAATCTCTGTTATATATGAGTGTATGAAGGCTTTGTTGAAGAACATCGAGTTAGTTTCCTTTGCTACTTGACCTCTTCAAACAATGCTACTGTGAATTTATTCTGTATCGCCCGAGTTCAACAACATTACGTTTTTAACAAAACAAACAAACCCAATGCAGAGGCTAAGCTAAGGCTTTAAACCACTGAGGTGCTGCTTTGTTGACGTAATTGACACATGCTTTAGCTTGTCAGGTGAATAAAAGCCTGAATTTGTTTCCAATCAAACACTTATTTAATAACAATAATAATAATAATAATAATGTGTGTCATTTATATTGCGCTTTTCCTGGTGCTCAAAGCGCCATTTAACATTTATTTTCCATTAATGTTGTCCATTAAACTTGCATCAGACTCAATCACCGTGGAAAAATGACACTTCCCAAACTTAGCCAAACTTTACCTCAGTGTATAGAGAGGCGAAGTCCCTCCCTTTCCGGGGGAGCTCCATGGGACCTTATTTCGGAAAAAGTATGTATTGAAGTCAATGGGGAGAGAAAGATTATCTTTCGATCCCGTTTGAATTGTGCCACGAATTACACATATGATGTTTGTCAATTTAAAAGATAATTTTACAAGTAAAAAAAATTAAAATGTGTCGTAAAACTGTGAAGTAACACTTTTTTTGTGTGAAACCGCTCAATGAACTACATCTCCCGTCTCGCACCACACACCAAGACGGCCGTCACGTTGGCACATTTCACTTCTTTCTTTCAGAATGAGGCGAAAAGTATTAAAAGAGGTGAAAATCACTACAAGTCTGGGCATGTTGAGAGCTGTACATACACACAAGGGGAGTGAGTCGGTTCCGTAAGAGCCAGCATGCGGGACCGGGATTCTGGGATTTGTAGTCTTTCTAGTTGCGTATTTTTCATAGTCTTATATTTCAACAGTTTTACGACAAACTGTGACTTTTTTTACATGGAAATTATTTGTTAAGATTGACAAACATCATATGTGTAATTCGTGGCACAATTCAAACGTGATCGAAAGATAATCTTTCTCTCTCCATTGACTTCAATACATATTTTTTCCGAAATAAGGTCCCATGGGTCGGAAGTAGATGGGCGGGACTTCGCCTCTCTATGCCTGGGTATGTGTGTAGTCAATATCAGTTTAGCCTTCCAGCGAAACCCTAGTGAGCGAACATTGGTTCCTACTTTTATATTCAGAGAGCTTATTGACTACATGGAATATTTGATGATGTGATTATGATTTAATCTATTGCACTTTTAGGACTTCTTGTCCAGCTTGGTTAAAAGCTCCAGAAAAGGATTGCATTGCATTTTCTGCACTAGAGGGGCATTGTAGAGTAGAAGTATTCACAAGTCCCAAACTTCCTTGTCAAACCCAAAAGAAGCCCAGACCCCAGACACATGCAGAACTGAAGAACTCATAAATGAAAACATTCAAAGGTTTCGAATATCTGTGACGTCTCGGGCTTCAGCGACCTTCATCAGATTAATATGGATCTGTTGGCTGTAAACATGTAGATGAAGATTTATGAAGGAAGGATTGACCTTCATCTTCCTCATGGTTCTTGTTAGATGATTAACTGTCAGACACTCTCTGTACAGGGCGTGTCTGCTCACGCCCTTTAGACCACCTTGCCAGCCTCGCCATGTGTTTGCCCGTGTGTTTAGTTTAGTAGGGGGGTGTGTTCCTCCATAATGAATCTTAGACTGCCTTCTCACTTGTTTTCCTCTTCCATCTGTCCTCTCCCTCCACCTTCTTCTCATCCATCACTTTTTACATTTATCTCTCCGGTTCCCTCAACTCTTTCACATCACTCTCTCTTTCTCTTTTTTCCAAGGCAGCTAAGTTCCTTTCTAATCAGCTCGCTCGTAAATGTCTCTGTTGTTTCACTGTCTTTATTACACGCCTTCTTCTGAATGCCAGTAACATTTTAATAATCTGAAGTCAGACCATGGCTTATTTACTGAAATAGTATCTCTTTATTTACCTAAAATTGGCATTTAAGAACTGCTGCTCTTCAACAGATTTACGACACTGTATTGAGTTTAAAGTATGACATTATTCAAAGCTAAAAATATATTTTTTAAATTCATGTGGAGATCCTAAGGTTTCCAAACATGCCAAATATGCCTAAAAAGATGCAGAAATCTAGAAGATTATTATTCGAAGGAATGATGCAGCTATAAA